AGCTCTACATATTTGGCTAACAGTTCTTAAAGTAAAGGGAATAATTCTAGGTATAGGAAATTGAACTTGACTTGCTGGTGGTAGTTAACCATTCCCCGGCATGTATTAAGGTGAAAGACGCTCAATCTTCCAATTTGTCTCTGTAGGCGATTCCCGGGTATATGCAAAGCGGTCATGTAAACGACTCGGACGACTACAAGTGTAAGGTTAGTATGAGTAAGCGAATTGCGGGGTTAGGTTGAGTGGCCTAGTGCGGGGTAATACCCTTGCTATTGGAAGTTAGTAACTGTAGACTGTAATATGTATAAATGCTTGAGCGAACAGGTGGATTACCCAGAATTCAATATACGTTGGAATGATCCTCAAGCCGCCCCAGAAGGGAGGTACGGGGATTTTCTCTCGATCTTCGAATCTTTGTTCAACTTCTTTTACCTGCTGCTCTAGCAGTTCTCTGCCAGGGAGGACAGAGGACTGCTGACTTGCCCATGCGCCGATCCTGGACCCACGAATTCTGGAAATATGCTGTTAACCGTTCTGTGCGATTTGGCCTTGTTGTCACTGTGGAGCATACCGAGTATCATAATAGACCTGGCTTTCTGCATCCGTCAACCTCTCGGTGACCCCTTCAACTCTAACCTGCCTCTCTTGCTCCTTCCACCAGAATGTCAACGAGGCATTGGGATTACTAGCGATGTCCTTTGACTTTTTAGAAGTGCCCCAGTTGGAGTAAATGACGAATCCCCGATGGTCTAGCTCTTTGAGGTAGACTGTTCGTGCTGAGATGCGACCGGATGGTAGACTTGCTGTAGAGAGGGTTGTACCCTCGGGCTGAGAAATGGGATGGTTTTGTGCTTCCTTGAACCAAGCGTGGAATTGCTGGAACGGGTCTATTTGGGAGCGAGTTAGCAGAGTAACTGAGAAGACGAGGGGGGTTAACCTTCGTTAAGATTATCACGATCAAGGCTTCCTTGGAGGTATTGGTCGTCTTTCGGCGCAACTTATTAGGCTAGTTAGCTTAAGAAGCATAAAAAAGTGGGATGATCGGACGAACAAATAAGCTTTTTGTTAGAGGCCATGATTGATCTCCCGAATAGCGCTGGTATTGCAGAGCGCATGTAGTATAGAAGAGCAGGCACGCAGATCGCAAAGACAAAGGTTACAAAAGGATGAATATACATCTTTGTGTTGTATCGTGGTTTGAAAATTTACATGTAGTGGGGCGAGGTCGTGCCGTTGAGTTAAGTCTCGGTATGTTCCGAGTCCGATGGAAGACGTCATGTCATCCCCGTTGACGATCTGGTGTAACATCACTATTCTTCCTCACGAATTGGAGCATTCCAAGATATCGGCACACCTACTCGCGCGAGTAGATAGATGCATTGTTAAGTCTGCCGAAATTTGGACCTTGGCTCTCGAATCTTGCATCTTGCATCACTGAAGTCCACTCATCACTCATCACTCGCCGGCTGCTTCCCGGACCAGTTAAATATTTCGAAGATTTACCTATCTCAGAGCACTTCTCATCTTGCTCCGAGCAACCCTTGGATCACATGATTTTGGGCTATGCAACTTGGAAATGCGGTCAATACCAGTTATCGACTTTTTCAGCTGGCGGTTTATGCGAATTTACCAACCAGCCCCACTTTTTTATCAATGAAAAGATCCTGTTAACTACCAGACATTTTTGAGGCATGCAACTTAGGTATGTTGTTGACCCCGATGGGCCCTGCTATTATCAATAGCGAAAGTAATTGACTATGTGAGAGGTTTAATTAATTTAATTGTTTATATGGAAAATATATATCTCAGTTCCCATGGATACTAATCCCTTGCTGTATTTTACGTTTGATATATGGTGAATCATGGTCTTTGAAGAGAGTAATACAGCTCTTCAGGTAGGTTTGATAAATTCACATTATTTATACAGGTACTAATAGATCTATCGTCTTTAGTGAGTTCTAGCAGCTAGGTTCTTTAACACGTTATGTGATGTCTGTCAGCTCTCAGTTTTCACCTTAAACACTATGTTTTAAAAACTTATGATCCATCACTACTAATCAAATACAGACACATATCATTCACACCTGTGATTCGCTCATGGATTTAATAGGTCCGTCCCAGGCCTCATCCTTCATGCAGTTACTATTTCGTTGTTACAAGTGGTTTCGCTACCAAGGTGTCTCAGCATCGATTCTCTCACATTTCAACATTCTGAGATCTCTTACTTGATCAAGGCGTGAGACTTGCAGACAAAGTTATCTTTCGGGAAACTCAACAAGGTAGCTCCACCCATTCCCACAATGTGTTCACACTTCGAGTCACAGGAGGTAGATGAGTACCTAATTCAGCTTGATAGCTGCATTGTGGTTTTGGGCGTACTCGACACATTGGGCTTTGACCTCTTCGAATATCGACCAGTGAAATCCTAGCTAGTGGGGCTACAATTTAATAGACCGCGTTATCGACCATGAACATAAGGTAAACTTACCTCTCTCCGATCGCACAAGTCCCACCATTGCTATCAGCCCCATGGGCGGGCTTTTTTTGTTTGTTTACCAGTAGGAGTGTGTCCACACCACAACAACTTTGGACATGGAACGACGGTCGCGCCAGTCGAGATCATCATTTCCGAATTACTTCATGATCTTCTGCTTTTTCCTAATTGTGATAACTATCTGTGTCCAGTAAGTAGAACGGTCCAGGTCAACGCGGAGATATTATGAAAAAGACAAACATCCGCAGGCTACCTTCCAACGGAGAACATCCCCTTCCAGGACAGCTGTTGATATTTCTCACTAGAGAATTGATAGGTATCTGCTGGTGTAGAGTCTAGCAACGTACGCTGTTTTGACTGGCAAGGCAGATCTCTTGGTAAACTAGGATAGTTCTTGGCTCATATTTCACTCCTCCTAGGTATCTGTGTATTGATTATCGGCCTTCTCGAACCTCTCACGGGATCCAACAATAAGAGGTAGGCGCATGCAGTAAGAATAAGATTCTAAAGTACCAAGATGGGCAACATCATCAAATCTCGGAAAAGTACTTGAAAGTATAAGCCAAAAGAGACGCCACAAATCACACTCGTAAGCTCAATATTGCGCATAGGCAGTGGCAAGATGTAGAGGGTATCATCGAAGCCAATCAAACTGTTTTGTGCGGGTTATCAAGCGTGTTTCTGAATTGAGCCCGGACTGGCTTTCAAGAATTAATGGGTATTTTCCAAATACTTAGCGCTTCTGGGTACTTAATGAGCATGAAAGGACATGTATTTATCGGTCCCCACCCCCATAGGCTCAGCAGTATTCCGGCCACAGTACATGTAGTCAAGCACTGTTAATCGACTTGTAGGCGTATTTGACGATAATTCTTGATTATCAATTTTCAAATAACCTTGATATATTTAATTGACGTTAACACAGGTATCTAGCCCCTTAGCTGGTCTGGGATTGTTTTTGTTGTCTGGGTATGTGCCAGTACACCTGTACGTACAAATCAAGGCTGATTTGGCTATCTACTGTGATCCACATTAGATAGAGGGAAATTAATCCCTCGATTTAAAGTATGTAGCTCGAGGATCCTCGGAGAGTTGAACCTCAGTAGGTAGAGCAGGTAGTGTGCCAAGAAAGGGGGATAGATGAAGGCACTTTGCGCCTTACTCACATCTTGGGAATGCAATGGCCTATATACTTAACTTAGGTAAGTATAGTTGAAGGGTATGCGTAACCTTTCCAGAATTAATTCCACAAAGAAATAGGCTCTTTGAACAAAGAGCTCGGGTTGGGTCCTGTTAAGGTTTTAATTTTGTGGATCTAGTGTTGGCCCCGTGGTCCACGAGGCTTAGGCCATAAAGAATGTGGAATAATGTATCTCGAATTTAGCGTAATTGGCTTGTTCCATATTAGTATCACATACTAATATAATTCAGAATGTCATCGGTGCATGCTGCAAAAGGCAAATTCCGCCTCTATCTATCAATAGGCTAATATCTCCTTGTGGTTGTTTTTTCTAACTGATTAATAATTTAGTAGATCTGGTTGCCGGGTTCTAAGCCCATAAGTTTGCACTTGCATCATGAAGATTTCCGGACGTGCTGAGAGACTTTGTGGGGAGGGAATGCTTGGCCGCTCGGAAGCAGGGAGGAGGCTGGGCGTCTCTCGTCTCCGAAGTCCTGGGCTTAGTGCTCCATCCCCACTGAGCTGCAACGCCCATTCAAGCACGGACCGCTTGAAAAAAAAACAGCGGCGGCTGTACCCGCAGCCTTTTTTCAAGGAGCCTAAATGGAGTCAAGCACATTTCACACCAGCTAAAGTCGGAGAGCCAAGAAGAGGACAACGATCTATGCGCGCAAAAAAAACACTTTTCGCCAGTAAGTAGATTGTAGAATATTCCTAAGTCCTGCACTCGGTAAAATTCTCAGTCTCCTAGATGATAAACTAGTTATGCCGATTGACTCTGGCAATGATATGAGGTATCGGAACCCCGAGTAAGGACAGGTACAGGAGCCGTTCTATTGGTAGAGTGCCATAATTTCGGTGTATGCTCATCACTCCGCGTCCGTAATTGGTGGGGACAATCTGTGGCTCAATCGGTAACTCAATCTGTAACCTCATTGGACCTTTCTGTATCGGGTCTTATTTATATGTAATGCCAATTGTTTGAGTGGCTGTGATTCGACATTTGGACTGGGGAGGTGGCTCTGCGTCTGAAGTTTATTTAAGACCTTTCGGGTTGAATTATCACAATTGCTGTATGCTGGCTTGCGGCGAGAAGAATTACATGGTAGGATACACAAAGTGTACTGGTTGAGACACCAGAAAAGGACCATCCCCGTTGGCCTGCAGATACTTTATAGATATTCTCCCCTGACCCAAGTGAGCACAGTTCGCCCACGAGTCTCGCGTCCCGTACCGTTATTATACATAACCTCCGCTATTGCAATCAAGCAGCCCTAAGTTCATTGTTCTATCGATACACTTTTAACCAACGACAACTACGGAAAAATGTCTTCCCAACAGTTCATTGCTATTGATGAAAATCCTGTGAGCGATCCTCAACTATGAATAAATGGAAATGTTTCAACTGACAGCTATTATGATTGACCACCAGGAACAGGACCAAAGTTACTATTCTGGTTACGATTCTGAATCGTAAGTTGACGTCGCGCTTTGTAATGCTAGGGGAGATGTAACTAATGAAGAAATCAGGAGTGAGGCGACCGAGAAATCGACAAACACTTTGAAGTCATCAATTTTCGAGTATGCATGATCATTATCCTTTCACCCTAGAATCGGCTCGCTCACGCTTTGATAGTTATCGGTTTGAAAATGGTCGTAGATACCATGCGTATCGGGATGGGTAGGTTCTGCGTCTCTTCTGGGGGGAGGGGTAAATGGACTGATAACAGCGCAGGAAATACATGTTCCCAAATGATGATGCAGAGCAAGAGAGACTCGACATTATTCACCATACATACCTTCTGCTACTGAATGGCGAGTTACACATGGCGCCCATCGTCCCAGAACCAACGAGAATTTTGGACATTGGAACTGGCACTGGTATCTGGGCAATTGATGCTGGGGAGTGAGTTCATGCAAAGCCTTTTTATTCTTTTTTTTTTTTGCCCACCTATGTGTAGAGAAGATTAAATATTAATATGGGGTAGTAGGCGGTATCCAGACGCCGAAGTCATTGGGACCGATTTGAGCCCGATCCAACCAGCCTGGTATGTACCTACATAACCTGCCATGGTAGATTTTTCTCTGGGTGTACTAAAATATGAACTAGGGTCCCGCCAAACGTCCATTTCCAAATCGATGATGCAGAAAGCGAATGGACATGGGCCAAGGAGTCCTTCGATATGATCCATATCAGGCATTTGAGTGGTGCAATCAAAGATTGGGATGCTCTTCTCAAAGAAGTTTACAAGTAAGTTATGTCAAGACTCCCAGACAACCGGCATTTGACACTGATTATAAATAGAAATCTCAAGCCCGGGGGTTGGGTTGATCTTTCAGAATACGATATGCATCTCTTTAGTGATGATGGCACTTACCACGAAGGGTTGGGCCTATACAAGTTTTATGACCTAGTAAATCAGGCAGCCGCAGAATCTGGTAAAACACCATACATATTTTACTGATGAGAAGAAGAAGAAAATGCTAACATAAACCAGGCCGGGTATTTAATATTGCCGGTTCTTTAAAGGCCAGCATCGAGGCAGCGGGATTTATCAATGTGCACCAGGAAATGAGAAAAATCCCGGTCGGAACTTGGCCTGCCGATCAAAAACAAAAAACCATGGGCGCATATATCTTGCTTACAGCAGAGAGTGCATTCGATGCTTTCGGGATGAGGCTGTTGACAAATTTTCATGGGATGGAAGTGACCGAAGTCAACAAACTCGTAAACTCCGCTAAGAAAGACGTCCACGACAGACGTATTCACTCCTATTCAAAACAGTAAGTTAATCCAGTATTTATGTAGCTTATAATTATTTTCTGGCATAGATGCTGACAGGAGGAATAAAAGTCACCTTTATTGGGCGCAAAAGCCGCTCCCTTGATTCGAACAAAACGTGTTGTCAGTTGGGGTGTTTTTCTACTTCTCAGATTCAATTTACTGAAGTTGTATTGGTTCATGATATTTGACCAATATATGAAAGTCTTTCAATATTTTCAACTCAAAAAACCTTGATGGCAGAGGGAAAAACCAACCCGGAAAACTTGGTTAAACGTCCTGTACTCTCTCCAATATGTACATAACTCAGAGGCTCGATGAACGTGATAAAGAACAGTTGCATTCATGATAGAGTGTAAATTCGCCTTTTAATGTGATTGAATTTCTAGAAGAAAATGCTACGGATCGAGCATATTATGGTGCCTGGCTTTGAACAACGAACTGCATGTATGTACTTGTAGTTGTGGGTGCAAAGCCATTGATAATATGATGCCAAGCCTTAAATCATTAACGATCATTCCCAAATTCATCACCAGTGCTGCAGTATACAACATGAATCTAAAACTGCATACATGTACACTAAAAGTGGAGGATCATTTTATGCACTAATGCCCATCGATCTCATCAGACCACGACCTCTCAAAGCTATCGTGCCCCAATATAACACTAATGCGTTTTGATAATCCATACGTGTGTCTTTGTAATATTATACATATTGGGCGGGATGCCCGCCGGCCTAGGTTGCAATATATTAGTAGAAATTCATGTACCTTTATACTACTAATTTCATGACATTTCCGAACACGACTGCTATTGCATGCCATACAAAAAAAGCGCCAAATCCGCCTTTTGTATGTCAGTTCGGAAACGCTATGGGTGGGCGAGTACATGTTACTCATGTACGTATAGTACAGGCAGGCTAGCTTAGACCCGTTATTTTCTTACATGTAATTACATAAATGTATAATATTACAGCAAGTTTCATAATACTAGGCTCAGAAAGCGTTCTCAACTCATAGTACAATTCTCGAAGGATAGCCTATATAGGCTATCTGGGCAGTTGAAATTACCTTTTCGGGAGAATATCGGGCTCGGGCTTCTTAAGTAGGCTATTATTTAAAGAATCACACTATTTGTGTGGTATTATGGAACTTGCTGTAATATGTACTCTCATTTTAGATACATGCATTCATCAACTACATGTACCTACGTGCGGTGCTTGTATCTTCAAAGTTTCATTATCAGAAGGAGCCGGCCTTGACATAGAACAATGTACCAATTAAATCAATTGACCCCTCAAAGTAGTATTCAAATCCCATACTGCTTTTGAAGCACCCATGGCCGTTTCAAAATACGTCATCCTCAAAGAGCCTACCTCCAAACTTTACCCAGCCTTAATTGACTATCATCTTTCATCTGCAAAGCCCTTCCTTACTCCTCTGCTGCAACGTCTCCGAAACCAGTTTGCATACAATTAATGAAGTAATCATTCAATCAATCAATCTCCGGAACCAGCAGCAACCATGTCATGTCCCTTGCTTGTGCAAAATGATACAACAGACCAGTGCAGCAGATGCAACGAATGCAGCGAAATTATAGTCAACTGCACTTGCTGATGCAAATGAATCTGGGTTTAATTGCAAACCACTACGAGACAGGTGCCAATATGTTTCCCGACACTAAATGAACTGCAAAATTATTTTCTAACCAGAATTGCCATCTCATCGTCACAGTTGAATTATGATTACGATGATATCTCATCTACATCCTCATACCTGTCTACTGTTAGCAACTTCTCAGCCCTTGAAATTGGATTCGGACCACTCGATGAAGAGGAAAGAACAGTGAGGCGCAGTTGAGGGAACCTATATATCGGGTGTCTTAACATCCTACTTCAATGACGGCAATAGGATCTTACCCCTATCAACTGAAGCTCAAACCAATTTATGGGGCGTCGACACAAGGATAGCTCCGATTCTGAAAAAGAGTCGTTCTTCCGTACTAGGAAGCTTAAACGTACTTGGGACAAATACTGTCAATCCCAAAAGAAAAATGAAAAGATGAAACAGGGGTTGGAAGCGATAAAACTTCGAAGTGAATTAGAATGGAGTAGGTGGGGCAATTGAGGCCGAGAATCAAATATATCAGGGTGAAAAAAGAAAGGGTATACTGCATGCTTTTGAAGGTAAAGTAGTGTTTATAATATGAACCGTGTATTATTTCGATTAAACTTAATAAAGCTAACTAGCGCGTTGACTACAGCTTCCTATCACTTCAGAATCATCTCGGGTAGAGGTCTAGCTTCAAAGTTCATATATGCATAAAGCATGCCAAATCTTAGTTGCAGATTAATCTTCCAAGTCGCTTTCTTGCATACTTTTAATAAAAATCTACAAACACACCGAGTGACACATTGTGAAGTGATCACAATATATGTTTGTAGTTCCAAGTAACGAAACGTACAGCCGGATGATTATGAGAACCAGATTATGAACTGTTTAGATATTCTCTAGATATCCTCCAGTATAAGATAACGAGTCCGTCCTCCGAATGAGCCGCCCACAGTGTATTTTGACCCGTACTAAGGCGTTTATTGTTGATAAAGATCAGTGCTTCTATGGTTCGATATCACAATCATAATTGACCTCGCGCACAACTGCCATAATAGTGTGGTGGGCTGCTAAAAAGATCTTTTTTGCCCGTGCTTCGCCAATAGATACAAGTATCAACCCCAAACGACAAGTAATAAGTGTAGGTTCCCATTAAGACAAATGGCCGAGTGACATTCTATGACTAATATATAACACTGTCCAAAGCCGGTTTAGGCAAAATCCGTAATTTCACGCCATCGATGGTACGATAGACGCGAGATCGGAAATTTACTTTCGCCGCCCAGCTACTTTTCTATAGCTAGCGGAAGCCAAGTAGAGCGGATGTACCCCAACACAACCCCACAAAATCTGCAATGCCACATCGATGATTGACAGAGGAGAGACATTTATTTAAATTCATTTCAAACCCTAATCCATATGCTGCGTGCCCATCCATCGTACGCTTTCAAAAACCCCCGATAAACCCTAACCCACTCCGCTTCCCCGCTAATATAATAGCTATAGTACATTTCCAACCACCCCAAACCAAATAGAGCAGGACGAATGTTGAAATCCCAAGATACAGAAATCGGTAAGAACAGTTAAAAAAAAAAAGCATGCAAAGAAGAGAACCCCCCCATGAAAAGATGCCAAAAGGCAAAAGGAAAGAAATTCTGCTAGCGGTTTGCCCGTATCATACAAGAAGGTTATATATTTGATTGTGCTCGAAAGGGAACAAGGGCGAGTAACGAATAGATTGTCGGCTTTTGACATTGCTGCCCGCTTTAACAACGAGAACGGAGAGAAAAAAAGTAGATGTTATCGAGGTCGTCACTTCCTCTCAATCGGCAAATCGTCCATTAGCTCCCCCTCGCCCCTCCAGGCCTTCTTCCACCTTTCCCACCCGCCTTTTCTCTGCTCCCGGAGCACACCAACCATGCCCCTCTCCCTTAGTTGCTCCAAGACAACTTTCATGCCCTCCCTGCTCCTGCCCAACCCCTCTCTCATTCTTCGTACCCCAACTAGCTCAATGCTCCTCTGAACTGATCCCGTCGTCCAATTACTGAAGAAGCCGCGCTTCTCCTCGACATCCTTCACAACCTTTCCGCTCCCAAGACGCGACTCGAAACGCACAATTGTCTGCACGTCTGTTTTTCCGTCGCGGGTAGTCCGTTCGGCTGAGGGCGTGTAAACTTGTGACTCAACGACCGATAGGACTCCCTCCCAGTCGAGATTGCGGGTTTCGGTCTCGAGACGCTGGTTCTTGACGTCGACGACTGAGTGCTCGAGGATATAGGATTCCTTGATTTTAGGGAGGAAGCGGGCGACGCTAGCAGGAAGCTTTCCACGTTTGAGATGGAGACGGGTTAGGTGGAGGTTCCCAGTAACGGGGTCGAGTTCGGAAGCGAGAGTGTCAGTGGAAATGACGTGGGTTGAGTAAGGACTGAAGATTGAGATTAGATGCAGCTCATAGGATGGAAGTAGCATTTATTTTACTAACTTAGGGTAGCGGAGGAAGTAGGCAAGTGTTACTGCTGGCCATTGGTAACTGTTGATTCCATGGGTTAGCAGTTAGACATTTATTATGCAGCCGTATGAACTATAGCTGTTCCGGTTTCGAGAAATGGAATTTCAATAGGGACCATACTCGTAAGAAAAAGCATTCTCGTAGAACTTCACCATTTTGCGTTTTTATTGCTCTGAGTGGAGTGTATAGGAGTGAAATTGGAAGTGAGCTTGGAGCCTCAATCAAGCTTTCACACAGTTAAGGGAAAGGCGCGGAGATCGTGTGCCGATTTAAGTTTATTGAGAATGCGGGGTTGCCACCACGGAGCACAAGCACGAGCACACGCAGATCTGGGAAACTGGGAATGTCACGATGACGCCGTTTGTTTGGCTGGCCGGTGGTTGTTGTCTAGGGATCGAGGGAACGAGGGAGAGAAAAAAAAGGGAAGAAGAGTCTCTCTCGATCGCTCCGGATGAATATATTCCCACCCCTCGCTCCTTATGTCGGATGCTTTTTTCTCATTGTCGGACGGCGACGGGAGACGTCGGCAGCGGAGCCAAGCAGGGAAGGTGGGGAGTCCAAAGTCTTCTACTGCCTCTATTTTTGTCGAGTTTAAAAGTGACAAAAGAAAGAAGTATTTATTTTCAATTCGGTGGAGTATATAAATTCTAGATCCATCCCTATCTACCTACCAGATGATCTCGATGTTCCACTTCCCAGTCAAGCCCCATCCATTTGCAGCCCCCCCCCCTCCCCCATGTCTTCCACGTGATCGCCAAGCAAAACTCAAACCTCTTCCCGGAGCCTCACATCCCACCAAAACTGCCTGTCCAAACTCCCCAGAAGTCACCTTCCCTCGCGCAGCTACGATGAAGTTCGGAACCAAGCAGGTTTTCCTGTAGGTCATAAAATATCCTTCCAGTACTCTGCACCTAGCTAATTGCCCTAACCTCACAGGCCTAACTTTTCTATCGGTCTCCTTCGAAAACCCCACCTGCCGCCCAACTTCGTGCAGTTCATTGTACCGCTCAACCTCAACAAGCTCGACTTGAAAGACTACCTTTACCATGCATATGGTGTCGAGTGCCTGAGTGTACGATCGTACATTGAGCAGCAGAAAATTCAGTATTCTAAGCCGCATCTGATCAACAAAAGGTTGGAATGGTATCGGCCAAGGGCAATCAAGAAGATGACAGTAGAGTTGAAGGAGCCATTCATCTATCCTGAGGAGCCGGAAAATCTTGCACCGTATGTATTTCCCGGTACCGGGTTTCAATGGGCGTGGAGCGTGGCTAATGGGTGGGCGGACAGATGGGGTAAGGATCGAGTCGAACAGGCAGAAAAGACGAATAGGGAGTACCAAGAGGGCTTCTCACCAGATGCGAAGAAGAAACCGAGCCCGGTAAGGTCGAAATTAAGAGACCGAATGGTGTATTTCGAGAGCATGCAGAACAGCGGGAAGGTGCAAACTGAATCAATCGAGGTTGAGAAGGAGCTGAATGTTTAGTATAATCATGTAGATTTTCTGGGCATAAGATATGAAAATATGCAAGATGTGTGTATTATATAGTTAGAGATCGAGTGAGCTCTGGTGAATAAAGCGCTAAAGCCAGGGACTTTGTCACAAAACATCACTCGTTTGTGTTTGTGCAGTATAGGTTATCTGAATCTGTTTAGCTTGACATAAGATTCATGGCCAATGATTGGTTTAAAACATGGTCTATGATTGGTTTAAACTCGAGATCAACCTGCTCAGTAATCAAAGAACTTAAAATTGCTAAAAAACAAAAACATGTCAAAATTATCATTTCCATCACAAGCTAGCAAAGATGCCGATTACACTGTTGCTTCGTGGGCAAGAAATTGATCATGTGTAATGAAATCCCCTGAATCGAGTGTTCCCCATTCGCTGCATATATAGCTCGAGAAAGGTACTCCCGAGAAACAGGTAGCATCTCTAAGAATCCCGTGGGCTACAAAAAATTCCTTAAAACTTCAAGACATCTCCCCGCAAAGAGAGCTTCCAAGATGAAATTCTCTCAGAAATTTTGAAAAACTCCCACCTGGAATATGTTATAAATCTTCCTACCTCTCTGCAGTCTCATTCTCCATACTCAAATAGATACGCGTACGTATACAAACAATACAAACACTGCCAGTACCCCCACGTAGACACATACATACAACCCATCATATACATGGCTCCCAACAGCACCAGCACATAGTGCGAATGCACCCCTGTTGCGATAGAGGTGAAAAGATATGGTAGAGACATATTCTATGAAATTGGCGTAGGTTTTCATCCAGGATGTAAGGAGTGTAGTATATGTAAATGCACTTCCATCACCATGGCTGAGCTAGAAGCGTCACGGTGGGAAGTCTATGCCTGCGTGAATAAGAACTGTAAGTTTTGTTCCAAGAATACAAAAGTGTGTACAAACCTTGTGCGGATGGTGGATTACGGAGATAAAGTCATCGTATTATGGGATGATATTATTGAAGATACCTTTGGTGAGACTGTAGAGTCCACTGAGAGTAGATATGATGATGATGAGAAAGCCGTAAATTTAGAAGCTGCTTCTACGGTTGAGAGAGCAGTCTAGAATTCCATAAGGGAATATCATCTATGTGTAAGTGTTTTAGGATCTAAAATGGCAGCAGAATTGTAGGCCTCGTTGATTGACATAGGAGCGAACGATTTAAAAAGCTGATCATGTTGATCGTCATAAGAGAGGGAGGGCTAAAAGAAATTTAGGAAGTTCGAGATTCAGAAATCAAGATGTTGTTTGGAGTCGTTTCTAAAGTCAGTCTCTTGCCTAATCGTGATACTGAAGACGAAGACAGTTGTAGCGTAGCAAATTGAGCCCACGCGAGTATAAGAGCAATTGAAATCTTCTCCCTCCCTGTAAAGAACTTTAATTTGCAGTTAGTAGGCACATCTAGTGACTATTGGAGGTGATTACGTCTCCTGGAGCCTTTTCACCATACTATGGCTTAGCGCAATACCTGTTCCTCCTACCTTCAACTTTTCCTCAACTTTCGTTCCCTTACCTTTTTCATCACTCTCTCCACTACCTACCTTCCATCATCCTCAACTTTTTTCTAGGCAGTCGATACATTGACGCCTGTCAAATTTCTTGTATGTTCAAGTAGCATCGCTACTTGTTCATAGTTTCTCAACAGCTCGATCAAGCTTTTTCAAAAAATCACCAAAAGTTCTCCTTGAGCAGGAATTCCGCTCAGTCATGTAAGTCTTCTTCATCTCCACCATCAATTTATTTGCTGCTATTATTACTATTACTGACACATTATATTTATAACAGCCAAAAAAACCAAAACCAAAAAACTGAAATCAGGACAACGAACTTCATATTGTCTTTCAGATGAAGCCTTCCACTCGAGTCATCTCCAATGACTTGGGCTTGAACCACAAGTCCCAAAAAATCTTTACCAAGGTGCTGGCTCCATATAAGCAGCAACTTGAAAAAAGTTATCTTCAAGAGCTTTTTGAAAACATGGTTGATAGAGAATATACTTCTAAGGTACAATAGCATGTACATGTGAATGCATTATTTCACTGTTACAACCATATAGTCCTTTTTAAACCTAGTGCTAATTTAGTTATTCAGGGCCAGGACATTCAAGCTGGAGCCACCACTCAAATTGGAGCAACTACTCAAGCTGAAGCCACTGCCAACAAGTGCACTTGCAAAATTGAGGAAGATATTTGGGACCTGGACGAAGCCAATGCTATCTTAAACGCCCGTTGCATTGTATGTAAGATTGGCATCAACGAGATCATCAATTCCTCAGCCATCAAAATCGAAAACGAGGCTCAGCCGGCTGAAGACGATTTCGAAGAAATCACCCTCGAGGTCAACGTTTCTACTTCCGCAACCAAAATCGAAAATGAGATTCAGTCGGTTGAAGATGACTTCAAAGAAATCACACTCGATATCACAAACCCTTCCTCTTTCGAGATCGAAAATAAAATTCAGCTGGCTGAAGATAGGTTTGAAGAAATCACCTTCGAGGTCATCAATCCCTCCATCAAAATCGAAAACGAGATTCAGCCGGTCGAAGACGACTTCGAAGAAATCACCCTCGATATTAACACCCCACCCAGCATCAAAATTGAAAGTGAAATTCAACCGGCCGAAGACGGCTTCGAAGAAATCATTCTCGGCGATTGCCTCACCTGTAATGGACCTGCTAGGGCCTGCAATTGCCCTGACGCCAATCTTCAACTCCCATTTGATCACGAGCTCGACGATAGCGGCTTCGTCGATGATTCTCTAACCACAGTGGTTCAGAGGAAGATCAGAACTCTCGATTTTGAAGTCGATGATATCTTTGATCTGATGAGTGATGGCTGTACAGAAATTTTCAGAAGGTTGTCATATAAATACGAGCCCAATGAAAGGGTAGATATCCAAGAGGCTGGATACACCTTTGTCGATCATCACAAGAAATGATGCTGCTTCAGGCTGGATTTTCTTTGGTTCATAGCTGTCTCGATAGAAAATGGGTTAGTGTTTGTGAATAGGCATGCGCAGGATAGTACGACGAGAAGTATGTACATGAACTAGTGTATGTATTTGGACAGTCTATCGACATATTAGGCCGTTAGCTTAGACGAATATATATATTTCAACCCCCATTTCAACTATCTATATCATTAATTTCCATAGGAAAGTAGTAAATATGAACCCTGAGTATTAAATAATGGTCAAAAATCCACATAAGAAAGTAAAACCCTACAAATACGCCAAATTTTGTCCGGTATACCCAAGAAACTTGCTTTAAAACATTTTCTATAAACCGTTAACCAGAGCGGTTTAATCTTCGACGAACTTCGATCCAAATTCCTGTAGTTGCATCCCTTCCCCGTTTTCCAAGTACCCTAACCCACCACCAGCTCTTGAGTGGACCCATTCCTTCTCAACCCTGAAAAATGTCCAGACCCATCGCCTAAATACTTCCAAAAGTTCAAGAATGAAGATGCCACCCTCCATCTCATTGATATGGTCCAAATGAGGGCTAAGTTTAAAGCTCCAAGTTGCCCGCAACAAGATATCAACAATGATTGCACTATAATAGAACCCTACAGCAACAAAGTGACGGTTTGCCCGAAGAGCCCATGGATAATCCCCAGAGGAACGCTTGGACGAAAATAAGGTGAGATCCCAGTCCTTCGTTACATCCCAATAAAACGAAAAACCAGAGTTGAATACAACAGCGCACAACCACATTCTCGAAAGTGTTGATTTCTGGAACATATGCGGCACATCTGGATCATATTCACGTTGTAGGGCTGAGCAAACGATTACCGGGAAGGCGGAAGCGTATTTTGCAGAATTGTAGAGGTGGACACGACGCTCAGTGACACCTTTGCGTCGAGCACGGACATACTCCGTCAAACACTGTCGCAGCCGTATCAGGTATGGCAATGCCATTACGCAAGGAACTAGGTACACCCCACCACAAGCCCGGTTGGGGGAAGTATTTGTCGAGGAGTGTCCGCTCATGAACATGCAAATGCAGACAGCAAAATCTCCGAGAACTTTCGCGTATGACGTCAATGCGTCGGCGAGCAGAATATCGGCAAAGCGTAGGTCAGGATGGATACCGCCGATGAGAATCCGTCGGAGCATTCTACAAATGTAGGGCAAAAGCATTAGATATTTCCATCGCGAAATATGATTCGGAGTGCGTGGGGGAGGTCACAATAAAACCCCCACAAAAAGAAAAATCCCAATAGGCCATCACGCGTACCGTAGAAACCTCCATCGTCCCCTTTTGTGCCAACCCCCGAATGGCCATAAGAATATACCGACAATCGCGGCAAACAGCATCGATGGTAAGATCTCCCACACCCTGACCAACTCTTCATTTCCACCAGTCATAGTCCAGAAAGCGACTAAGTTTAGCCCAAAAAGCGCCGACAGCACAAGTGCAACCTGATAAACAGAACTGTGTAATGGCGGTTCGTTTGCACTGCGTGTGTATCGTAGCATTGGCCCAGCCTCAATCCGGATGATGCTGAAGTAATGCAGATTCAGGCCAAAAAGCCATATGCCTATTCCGTTGAGAATCCATCAGCGCAGGCATAACCGGGGCGTAGGCGCGTTCGGGGCAGACCTATGATGAATATTAGAATAACCCGATAGGGGAGCGGGAGGTGAACGCTCAAAGACTCGGCGGTACGTTGAAATTCCTCTTCCATGATGGCGGCGAAAGAGATATTGATAAGTAGAAAGAGTGACTGACGTTGGAAGTCGTGTGTGTAACTAAAACCCAATAGTGTTGAAAGCACATGTGAATAGTAAAGACAGACAAGTCGAAATTCCTAGGAGCAAATCGTAATGATTTTTATTAAAGGACCTATTTAGGGATTCCATCCCTGCGGCTCCTTACAGGCCCCCTGCAAGTTACAGACACATGTGATACAAATCAATTGTCTTGGCACAGGTCGTGTCTTACGTAGTTCAAGTTTATCTGAATGTAGAACTTCTGAATTGCTTGGTATATGTGTTCTACGTGTAGTTTACATTAAGAGCATCGCATACTACCCATAACTCCCGCATCCCACCGTGAGTCCCGAAATTTTGAAAATTGGAAATTTAAAAATCCATAAGAGCAAAATGGTTATCATCCGTAGTTGTGTAAGCAAGCCCAAGTTCCAACAACTCTTCCACTCCCTTGAAAACTTGTGGCATCCCTAGACCACTCTTCTGTGAAATGATGTTTACATGGATACCATCGGGGTTGGTCGGACAAGCGCGAATAGCATCGTATACCCTCCTGGAGATGTTAGATGCATTGGGCGGGAAATTACTGCTACCACCCATTCCACCCATTGCTGTATCCTCTGTCTTGACATTTTTGGATTGCCCATAAGAGGCCGCACCGCCCCCGCCCCCAGCAGCAAACTGTTCTGGGGGACCTCGTGTGAAATGCAAATGAATAGCTGCAGCTTCTAGAAGGTGGTACTGGACCTCGTTGTAATCCGTAATTGCATGGATCTTATGAGCTCCAACATGACGTTTGTTGTTGAATGACTTAAGAGCACCGGTAATCCGTACGTACTGATTAGTGGTAAGCTTCGACGAGGCTGAATCCTCATCATCAGCATCAACCCATTGCTTCACCTCAATAACTCCTGTGCCATCGTCCACCCTGTAGGTGATGTTCGTAGTTTGCTCGCTGATATTACGGATTTGGGCAACAAAAGTAATCTAAATTGGTTAGATTAGCCCTAAGTAGTGAGGTATAAGAAGTATGGGGTGATCCACATGACTCAATTCTACATCGTCAAGCTTGAACTCCGCATCTGGATGAGGTTGGACAGCTTCGAGAATCTGTTTGATCGTGACAGGACGAAGAGTATTTGATGCACGGTTCTTTATATCTGCTCTATCAGTATGGTTACAGGATAGATACGCCACAGTGACACTGACCTTTGAAGCACTTCCTGGTGTTTGTTGGCTTGCACCACCCTGTGACCCACTGTAATTGTTCATAAAACCGCCGCCGCCAGCCCCACCACCACCATATGTGTTTGCGGAATAGTTATTATCTCCATAACCACCGTAATCTGAGTATGAGATAAGCCTATTTCCAAAGTTCTAGCTAGGAGGAGGAACTGACTCATGATGTAAGACTTTGAGATGAAAATCGATGGATATTGAACTTCTGGTAGACCAGTAAACTTGAAGGCGTGGGGTTGTTTGTTGGCAAACGCGCTTTACGCGCTCGCGTCGTGAGCCAAGAGACCAACCAAGCCACTCACGTTGAACTGTCAAGTAGGGTAACTGTAACACATTTTTGGTATTAGTAGAAACCCCATTCGAACCTGGTGCATACATGTAGGTACATCATGTAACGTATCCAAGCATTTTTTGTATGGACTCCGAAAAAAGATGACTGCCGCAGCAAAGAACTAAAAGACCAATGTCTGTACCTTACTAACCCGATATTTAGCTCGGCAAAGCTTCTGAAACAATCCAAATCAACGCCACCATGTGGTATCTGCTCTCAAAGAATGGCGAAATAGGAACATCTCCGTGGCAAGGAACCGGTTTTTCTTCATATCAAAGTTCTTTCAATGATAGGACATTGAGAGTTTGTCAAGATGTTTCAAGTTCGTAGACCTACCGATGGCATCCAAATGTTTGCGTGGGTGCTAGGCCTCTGGTTTCTCCCGTCAAAAGTTCCCGTCCCTTATGGGTTTTAGGGGCGACTGATTCATATATTCGTCTGTCTATGGATGAGTGCCGTATATTCGGAACAGGGACCTATGTAAGGATACCAAGTAAGGTTCTTATCATTGACTCTTGAATGTCTGATCATGACTCCGAAGGCAATCCCTAGGCTTGGGTTTTGCGAGCTTTCGAATGATAGGATATATCAAGTTCTAGACTACCGCCGATAGATTTGTTATAGGCATAGTGGACTAAAGCCTAGTCTTTGTTTTAATGGATCCTATGCTGACGAATTAAAACCCCAAGATTTAACCGTCGCATCTCGACCTCATTGCTTGACTGGCATCATCACTTGTATTAAACAGGACTGGGACTTTGATAGGTACTCTACACAAACCAGCCGAGGCATGCAAGGCATTAAGGCAGTTCAAGGATCTAGGATCAACCACATACTCTAAATTTTATGAACTTGAGAGCTCAATCAATCATCCCCGATGCAGTGATATTTTTCTTATGCAGTTGGTTTAGTTAGCAAAGTTCTCTCGGTAAGGCGGCATCTACCGGCTTTTGCGAAGTACTATGGCGCGAGAAGGCCTAGAGGGCGGGTGTGTCAACTTCAGAGGAATTTCGTTTGTATGGGAATCTGAGAAAATGCCAGGGTTAGTCTAGGCGCTAGTACCATTATGGCCAATTTCTATAAGTTTGATTGGCCGATTCTTTAAAAAAACGCCGAAGTTTACACACCTACCCCCATAGCTTCTCGAGCTATACAACATGTAGAAAGGCTTGGGCATGGGTTCATATCGCCGCGGACACCAGGATTCAAAACGTCTCAAGATGTAGGATCCTAAAGGTTAGGAAGATTACTCTACTTAGCTGTCACGCGACTGACGCAAAGGACTAGAGTACCAGAAAATACATGAGCTAGTCTAAGGGCTTATTGCCCACTCAGCCGTTGTGTTATTACTTATCAGCAGTAATCCCGTGTTTCTTGGGGCTCAGGAATCACCCCTGAGTTCAGCTTAATATATGGTAAAAACTTGATCGAGGCATGATATTCGAGCTTAGAATGATATCTACAGTACCTGTATATAGAATCAGAAATTTGAGGTTGCGCCGCCTTAATATAGGAGAGAGAGCAAATGCCGCAATTCGAACATTGACAGGTTGGAAGGTTATTGGCGGCAGTTGTTGCCCTGGGCGGCGAGGTTCTTGGGTACCCAATAGTACGACTTTGCAATGCCGCAAAACTTTCAATTGCCATCTGACGCCGTCTACCTACATAACACTTTTGATTGGATAGATATCCTTGTAGAATTACACGGACGACGTTTAGAAAAACGCGCAATCTGTCTATAAAACGGTTCGATATCGGGGTCTATAGCAGGAGGTTTGCCTATGTAGCTATTGATAGAGTTGTTTTATAAGCACTTTGACCTTTTATCACAACCATTGGCAAGACAGACATTATCTTGGCGCTGTTTATGGAGGCTTATTTATCAAATGCTCATCTAACCCAATCGATCAACACATTCCTATTTCTTTAGGGGTCTCGATAGGAGATATGACTAGAGGTCAGTGGTAGCGGCCATTTACGTGAATCGATTAGTTATAGCGATCTTGGCCAGCCACATAGGCGGAAAATATTTCCCAGAGACCCGGAACGATACCGACAGTACCCCTACTTTAGCAGTTTGGTACAGCTCCCGCAGAACGTGTGAATTGTGATACCAACATGTAGTTACCTAGCTACCTACCCTGTCTACAGTGGATGGCTACGGCATTAGCCATCTATATATTGGGTGTTACTTTACCCTGAAGTTCCAGTGTATACGATGTGCTATTATACTACTATACTAACAGTTGCCCCCTACAGGCTGTTATCGTAAATGAAGAGAACGATAAGCCGAATATAACATGATAATACAAGTTCATGCCGGTATTTGCGCTCGGGTACTTCCGAGTAGTTAATAGGCTGATGATTCCACAAGAATTGCCCTCCCATGTTGAATGCAGTAGAACCCTTAGCTTATTTGTAACTGTTGTCAGTAACTTAATATCTTTGGCTATGAGATTTACAAATTTAACGGCGTTCATACGCCAGTAGTAGGATTGGTCCGAAGAAAGACAAAGCCAAGTTTTTGCCAAGGATGAAATTTAAGGTGCCCCCCACATTCATTTGGTACCTACATGGTGAACTTCATGCGGAGATTATGGGGTATCATTTTTTTTCCTTACTGAAGAAAGTGCAGCTTTCTGCAAGGGAGCAAACAGCAAGAACAAAATTAACGCGGTGCCACCATTCCGGAGACATCGAGATGGTAAAGGAAAGCTGGTGGTTCTCGGGATGGCTGTCTAAAGAACTTGACCCGGAGTATTTACATATGAAATTAGTACGGCACTGATAACGGAAAGTGGGTACATGTAGGTACATGAGTTACTCACTTCAAACGCGGCCAGCTCCGAAATATAGATTAACTACATATATGTAGTTCACCCCCATACCATATCCAGGGTCCTGGGATTTGACTTGGCTCTCCTTCCGTTACATGTAGGTACATGTAGTCCACTACAAAAATCAAGAAAGGCAAGAAGGGGAATAGACATGTCGCTACTCGCCGTGCGTGCATCATGGCCAGTTTGGACTGTTTGAGGCAAATGGGCCAATCTGCAATAATAAACAAAAGAAGCCCGTTCACAGGTCATGTTGAATGATTTCCCTTGTGCAATATGCATAGACATAGACCGAGCAGAGAGAGGCAGCTGCAGCAGCTCAAAGACCTCACCCGTCTCCACACAATATTCCCCTTCAAGACACGGCATTGCAATTGTCTGCGTGTACAAGTACGTGTACAAGTACGTGTTTCTTCTTTTCCGGACTGAAATTTACTTTTTACAGGTACCATATCCCCTTTCCTGGGACTACATGTACCTATTTACTTGTAGTTGTATTCAATTTTAATTGGCGTTTTATCGCATGGTATTTCTTCACCCACCCCACTATCATAGAGGCGGCCAACCACACTCCCCCACTCTATCAACTTCTCACTCAAGTCAGTTCAGTTACCACGCCGCCTCAATCAAGGAGGTTGTTTTCAAATCTCCTATGGCTCGAGAAGCTATGGGGGGTAGGTGTGCAAACTTCGGCGTTTTTTTTAAAGAATCAGCCAATCAAACCTATAGAAATTGGCCATAATGGTACTAGCGCCTAGACTAACCCTGGCATTTTCTCAGATTCCCATACAAACGAAATTCCTCTGAAGTTGACACACCCGCCCTCTAGGCCTTCTCGCGCCATATAACATAAAAAAAATTGTGAATTAAAGATCAATGAAAGGGCATAAATTAACTATGATCTGAAATCTACAATCAATTATTTTCTAAAGTTATGGATCTAATAAAAGTTATATCAAGGTCGAGTCGTCAATCACTCTTTGCAGCGGTAACCCCGGGCCAACCCCTAAGGGTACTGTATTGATCAACTACATGTAATCAATAGTATTTCCACTGTTTCCCCTATTACGTCGTCTTCAAGCATGTAAACTATTTTACTGTTGATATTGGGGGTTGGTGTTGATCAGTTCCGATTCAAGTCAGGTGTGCGTGAGGGAGGGCTGGCCATCAGCGTCCATCACATCACTCTCTATCAGGGCTCTCTACCAGCAAAGTCCTCGGTACAGTAGGTACTCTAAGGTAGGTACATGGGTACATACATGCAGTCTATCCCTATTCAGGATCGGCTGTCAAACACCCCGCCGTGTATCCAAGACTCACCCTTGCATGGTACTTTTTTTTTGTTTTTCCCAAGCCTTTTTTACACTCCCCGCCGACGCCGCTTCGACGCCATAATCCCGGTGCCCACGTTGACCTTATTTCTAGAGTCCGCTTTATCTCTCCCGGATATCCCTTACCTCGTCTAAGACCGTCGCTCTCCACCCCAAGCCCGACCTTTATCCACTCTGTGCCCATCGCTGCAGTTCAATATTCATCTATCATATCACTCCTTCCCTCAATCATACAAATATCCGTACACCAGACAACCAGGAATGGGAGGAGAGAGGAATACAGTTATCTTACCTTATTGATCAAGGACCTATAGGGCGATATCGCGATTTCCGGTCTCGTTGCACGATATTGATGTAGTTTAACTACATAACTTAGTATATACCACGTTCACCTACTATCCGCCACTGCAGTTTTCACAACCGTTTGAGCCACAAGGCTCCCGACTCGTCCTTTATTATTATTGAAACCTTCCAGAGGAAGGTTGATCGTTTGACACAATGTCAGCAGGGTGAGTTGTTTCTTTCCTGCAGTTGCGATGCTTCTTTGTTCTCGATCTGCGTACCGCTATCTCTATTTTACCAGAAGCTAACTACTCAATAGATCCTTAAAAGAACTCTCAAAAACCCTGAACAACGCATTATCAGCCCCTCTACCTCTGTACCCTCTACCCGATGATGTCCTAGGCGTCATCAATGCGTATCTCAACAAGCATATAAATACGGAAGATCACGACTCCCAGCGTCTTCATGATGAGCTGTTAGCTTTGCATGAACTGAAGGTCCGAAATAACCCTGATAAGCACGCTGCATTTTTGGCATGCTTCCGTTCACTTAGACCAGCTATTGTTGGTGTAGAAAGGCTTCTTAAATGGTGGGAGATACTTGTAAGGCCAACAATGGACTCTATGGGTCAGGCAAAAGCAGTTGTGGCAGATGCTCGGGCAATAGTGTTGAGCGTTTTGGCATACGACGACGATGATGATCCGACCATGGAGAAAGCGGCAGCTTCAGCAGTGTTTACGGATAAGCTCTTTGAGGTATTCCTAGAGAAGACGAAGCTACTCTCGTTGGATAGAGGCGCTGGGTATAGGGAGGAGCAGAGACAAAGATTTGTCTGTGCAAATGTTGAGGCTGTCTTGTTGGCATTCGGGAAAAGGCGACCTAAGGTTCGTTAAATATTCGATATTATAAAACTCCACTAATTCTATTTCCAATTATAGGTTCTCCTCGAAAAAATCGATGGCTATGTTATCCAAAAGGAATACAGGTTACAGGCTTTGGGGCTATTATGTAGTTTTGTACGACTACAAGGACCGCATCTCTACCAGATTCTGCAGACACAGTTACTCGATCATTTGCTTCAGTGCCTAGAGAATGACACATCCACTACTGTCATATCACTTGCATTGACAGTGTTGATTATGTTCATGCCACATTTATGCAACTCCTTAGCTTCCTATCTTCCAAGGTTATTTGTGGTTTACACACGGGTCTTATGCTGGGATAAGTTTGGGGTTGTGCGCCTTGAAGAGACACGATTGCCTGGTCACAAGGACAATTATTCAAGGACATCAACCCCTCTATCCTTCGCCAGGACTGAGAATTCTACTGAGGGTGGGTGGCAAAAACTGGATTCTTCTTTTGAAACAGCATCATCTACAACACCAGATGTGAGCGACTATTTTACGTTTCTTTATGGATTATATCCTATCAACTTCTTGACGTTTATCCGGGAACCTTATAAATTTTTAGAGCGCGCGGATTATAAAGACATTGATCAATTGGATATTGAGGAGGAGACCATAAGACAGCGAACGGAGTTTTATCGGCAACGGCATACTCTGCATCCAAATTTCTTGGTGCTGACTGCCGAGACAGAAATCAGTGACCAGACTAGATGGATGAAGGTCGAACCTGCAGATGTAACGGCAGAATGTATTGGTCTTGTTAACAGTAATCTCCCTATGAGTGCCGGTCGGGAGAAGAAGCAGCGGTCGAATGCTATTATTCCGGAGGCATTAATCCCGACTGAAGACATTCCTGATGAAAGTCTTTTGTCTTCGGATCCCGTAGATGACGACTATTCTCTTAACCAGGACGATTCCTCAACGTATAGCTCACGAGTGGGTGAGTCAACAGCCCAATTAAACTCGCAAAATAGTTACTCAGAGGTTCTTGAACTATTCTCACGTCCTCCAGTTGGATTCGGGCGCCGGGAATCCCCGGACCCTCATTCAAGAGACAACAAGACCCCGACAGCCCAACAATCCCGCCTGCACTTTCTCCTACTGATGAGGACCGGCTTGACGACATGCTGCGATTACAAGAAACATTACGATCAAATTTTTCTGATTCAAAGACGCTTTCAACACACTCCTTGGGTCAGCCAAACGGACCGCCACCTACTGGCCACCCCCCTGGGCCTCCCCCTGGTTATGGCAGCGTCACAGCGTCACCTCGTTTAGATGCATATGTCCATTCACTCAGTCACAATACTGTCCCAAGGTCACCTGCACTTCGGCCTACTGGTTCAGATACCCAAGGAAATGTAGCATTTCTCCAACGTGAAGTGATGTTATTGAAGAATGACCTCAACTTTGAGCGATATCTCAAACAGCAGCATCTATCACACATCGGTCACCTACAGAGGAAACACATCAAGGAAGCTACAGCTGAAGCGGAAACCCAGAACCTAATCAATACGAACAAAACATTGAAAGCCAAGTTAGAGGAAGCAAAGAAAGCATATGCAGCTGCGAGGGCAGAATCTCTGAAGAGTAAGAACCAAGCAAAGAAATGGGAGGCGGAACTCAGCAGTAGGATAAGAGATTTGCGTGAGGAGCAGAAGGCATGGAGGAACGAAGAAGAGACGACGAAAAAAGCGCTAATGGCAGCAAGAGAAGAGGCCGATCACTTACGGACCCTACTAGCGGAAAGTGAGGCGGAAGGTCTTGTTTGCCGCCAAAAACTTCAAGCTCTAACGGCAGACATGGATGAGGTTAATAAATTGCGAACGTTTGTCGATCACCTCTCAAACAAACTCACAGAATATGAAGCTCGCTCGGACGAGTTCGAGATGCAGAAGCATAATGAGGAGTCAGCTATGGCGCAAGTCAACCAAATGAGGCTGAGGTTACAGGCTCGAGAGCATGAGAGCCAAAATACAAGGCGGTATGTATCATTTTAGTTTATTAAAGTTTGAAAAGTTTTAACATACTTGACAGTCAATATGACGCCAAAATTCACGAATTGGAGTTGAAGCTCAACCAACAGCCTCACCCCGCTTCTTTTCAGAATTCCCCAGCTATCCAGGGCATGATAGACAATGCACTTTCAGGAGCAAATTCTCGCTTGGCATCTCTAAAAAAAGCTCATACCGCACTCCTCAACAAATATACTGAATTAGAGATTAAGTTTATCGAACTTCAGGCAGCGCAGGAAATTGATAGTCTTCCCGTGCACCATAACACTCTAAATAGCCATCGTCTTTCTCAACAATATAACCATGGCCAACCTAGTGAGCCAGATGTTGAAAGGGCCCACTACCAGACACCACGTGCACATTATCACTCTGAGGGATCGTTAAGTCCACATTCAACCAGCTACTCAGAGTCGACAAATAGCAACTATTCGGCGACGGGTCAGAACATACATTTCCCATCCCAAACACAAAGTGCCCCACCTTCGTCTACGAATCCGCTATCTCCTGGGTACATTTCACCCGGGGCACATACAGCCATAGGCAGTGGAAAGTTTCCTGGGGATACAATAAGCACAGAACAATCGCCCGAATTCGCGACAACACCACCCTTGAGGCATAGGCCATCCGTGGTTGATAGTATGATTTCTAGCGCTGATAGCCAGAGTATGAGAACTGTTACTTCGACTACGTCTTCAGAAAAGCGGAGGGAAAGAATCAAACCGCAATCTGAGATTAGAATTCGTGGGAGAGGTTCGTAAAGTTTTTTTCTTATTTGTGTGGGATTAATTGTTGAAGCTTTTGTGGCTGTGGTGATGAATAATTGATCTCATTCTAACCAATATTATTACACCACACTCGTCTCTTTCCTCGATTAATACATTTCTTTATCTCTCTCTCTTTTTCTTGGTATGGATGTAAACAAAATGGCCTGGGGAAGAATATGTCAAGAACAACGTGACTTCTCGCATGACACAACAGGTTGTGGGGCCAAGATTTACGTAACCTTCCAGATAATTTCTTTCCCATAAGCCCACGACACGACCTAAGCAATCCTTTGGTGTCGCTTACGGTTGGTTCAAGTGTTGGCTGACGAGGCTGGTCCATATTCTTTTTTTTCTTTTCAGGATTACTGTTCCCTTTACCCCTCTTATTTGTCTTTTTCGAGCCGCTATCTTTCCTAACTCGTCAATTAAACTCCATTTACGGAAATTCTAGGATCTAACCGCTGGATATAGGAGGCGTTCAAAACATCGGCAAAAAGGATAAAGAGAAATCAGAAAAGAAGGAGAAGAAGGAGAAGAAGGAAAAGAAATTCAATTTCACAACGGGAAGTGGCCTTGCCGGTATTCGAGGGTTTGGTTAGAGATTCCTCTCTACAACAGATTCGGGTTACGGAGACATTAATGGGCCACCATTTTGCCATTTGAGTATCCGAAGCTACCTTTACCTCCTAAAGCCACCTTTCCTCTACTCTTCATCGTTCCATTCTCCATTCTCGGTCATATTATGGTTTATTTTTGTTTTTTATTATACATAGGGACTGGTGCGTTTTATGGATGGGACTGCGAACAAATACAACTACGCTTAATTCTTCCCCCCCCCCCCTCTTTTTTCCCCCTTTTTTTATATTTCCTTTTTTTTTTCTTCCCCAGCTCCTTTTTATCCTGATATATTTCTTCTCCGGGGATTCCTAGGGTGGTTATCATTCTTTTTCTTTTATTATATTATATACCCTTTTTGGACATTATTCTACACTATTGTTTCATAATCACGCAAGTAGGGTAGACACATGTAGTGTTGGGGGACTCAGAGGTCTGAAGGTTGAGTTATTGAGAGAGAGCAAGGTTGACGAGATGTAACGATTCAAATGTCATGATGCATTGATACGCAATATATTGGATAAATTAATATATCCCTAGATTCTCATATACCTCTCATTTTGAAACTTCAACTGCACGAGTGATAATCCGTGCACAACGCCCATTTTAAAAGTCATGGGATATTCGCGGCGACTCAAGCTTATATCCCTGACCGATTATTTTTGTGCCATACTTGTGCCTTAGATTGATCTCTGTTATGGTTTATATATAGGTCAGTCGGTAGGTTCCGGGGTGCACAATACCTACTACTCTATGTACCCACTCATAGCAGGAGTGTATCGGCCCCGAATATCTAATAAGATCCTGTTCGCGGGTGGGATGGCTCCTTGTGGGTAAAGTTCGTTATGTTTGGTTTGGCTTATTGTATTTATCAAACAACTTCGCTGGTATCTGAAATTAGAGAATCGCATTCGTCCTACCTGCATTTATGAAGTGCGACTCTCATGTAGGTACCCTCTCCAGGTGTCCGAAACCTCTGTATTCGGACATAGAGCAGCGTTACGCTAGTTTCTTTTGGGTTTTTCAACATCAGGCTGCAGCGAGGCTGCAGATGGGCAAGATTTCATATTTTGTGTGGTTTGCGTTTACTGCAGGTATCTACCCTTGATTAGTGTCCAACGACATCATTGTACATGCGTTTTGTGGTGTTGTATAAGAAGCTTGGCAGTACATATTCTCGTTTGTGAGCTTCCATGTCCAACAGTAGAGCTTAGGATGCTCATCTGAAGCTTCAGGCTTCTTGACCCCTATCTACGGTACCACTAAACTCTCATTCCAATGGAAAATGGGTACGACGGAACACAATCAGCAGGAGCAGCAGGAGGGGGAGTAGGGGACGGCGGAGGGAGTGGGGGGGGGGGGGAGGGGGAGGGGGAGGACTCTGTGAACCCAGCTGTGAGGCCTCCTGCGGCTCATCCTCTTGCAGCGTCATAATCGAGGATCCACCTACAACTCCGCCGTCTAGATCAAGCATCAACGACGAAAAGGAGACTATTCAGTCTAATGATGATAATCGCCCTGCATCTCCCGTCGCTCCCGCTCCAGATGATGTATCAACACCCTCACCACCTCCGCTCATGCCAGTTCGCGTCGAAGCACCCAAAGCACAGCAACCTACCTACCCACAGCTCTCTAACAACCTTCCAGCAAGCCCTGTATCAAAAAATCCCAACAATAAAATAAATGATGATTCTGTTCCAAAATCCTTTGACAGGTCAGACGTAAAACTAGGGAGACTTGAAAAAGAGGTTTACGAAGACAAAGACTTCGACGGTGTGCGACGAATGCATAAATTCACGTTGTACGAAACTGCTACACGGTTCTATATTGTCGGCTCAGATCTCTTGGATTCGAGATTCCGTATCTTGAAGATTGACCGTACGGCGGATGTTGGGGACCTGAGTATCACAGAGGATGAAGTTATCTATACTCGTGAGGAGACGACGAGGCTATTAGCCACCATCGAGGATGGAAATAGGTCTACTGGGGGACTAAAGCATAGATGTCCGTTTTGGGGACTCCTAGGATTTGTCAGGTTCACGGGGGCATACTATATGCTACTAATTACAAAAAGAAGTATTGTTGCTATGATTGGAGGCCATTATGTTTACCAGGTTCGCCTACTTTACCCTTATAAAAAATTATAACTTTAACTCATCTTGTAATCCTGACTGCGAATTCTCATTAAAAGATCGATAATACCGAGCTCGTACCCCTCACAGCCGGCGCACGGAAACCTGACCGAAATTCAGAAGAAGCTCGTTTCGTTAATATTTTAGGAAACTTGGATCTAGCAAGGTCATTCTACTTTAGTTATTCCTATGATATCACTAGGACGCTACAACACAACATTATCCGTCAAAGGGAAGCTTTAAGTAACGGATTGACACATCCAGATAATCACGATTATAATGACATGTTTGCATGGAATCACTACCTTCTGGAGCCTGCAAAGAAACACATGAAAAACACTTATGATTGGTGCATGCCCATTGTTCATGGTTATGTGGATCAATCTGGTAAATCACATTGGCTCGTAGTATATGGCCAAGACGTTTCTAATATAGATTACATTAGCAATTTCGGTATATGGGAGAATTATTTACATTACAGTCATTGCCCGGCGTTCACGGTACTTTGCTGGCGCGAGATTCCTAAAGCGCGGTGCGAATGATTTGGTAAACAACACGGGTTTCCTAAATAACTCTTCGGATACTTACAAGTTTTTATAGGGATATGTTGCGAACGATGTGGAGACGGAGCAGATTGTCTCCGATATGTTGACTACATCATTCCATGCGCCAGCAAAAAATCTCTATTCGAACCCTAATTACACATCATACGTACAACACCGTGGAAGTATTCCCCTATTCTGGACCCAGAAAAATGATGCTGCTACTCCAAAACCCCCTGTAGAGAGTACGCCCCCCCCCCCCCCCCTCTCTCTTCCTCTCTTTCTTTTGATTATATGGGTGAGAGCTGAAAATCAGTCAATAGTGAATCTTGTAGATCCCTTTTTTAGTGCAGCAGCATTGCATTTTGACGATTTGTTCCAAAGATATGGGGCGCCATGTATCGTATTGAATCTTGTGAAGGTTGGTAGTGTCCGATTGGAGATGGGACTTTCATAATTGACATATATACATATAGTCAAAAGAGAGGACGCCTAGAGAATCCTTACTACTGAAGGAGTTTACACAAGCAATCAATTACTTGAATCAGTTTCTGCCAACCGATAAGAGAATACGCTATATTGCTTGGGATATGTCCCGGGCCTCCAAGAGGTAATGACCCCCCGACATACTTTTGGAATATAATTAACCCTATCCCCGAGCAGTCGTGATCAAGATGTAATCGAAACTCTTGAAACAATAGCTGAAGTGGTTGTCAACACGACCGGTTTCTTCCATAACGGTCCATCTAGGGATGGAGCTGAAGCATCCCTTCAAAATGGTGTCTGTAGAACAAACTGCATTGATTGTCTTGACCGTACTAACGCCGCGCAATTCGTTATTGGGAAGAGGGCTCTCGGCCATCAATTACATGCACTAGGAGTTATATCGGGTACCAGTGTTGAATATGATACTGACGCGGTTGATCTGTTTACACACATGTATCATGACCACGGGGACACGATCGCTGTACAGTATGCGGGGAGTCACCTGGTGAATACCATGGAGACTTACCGTAAAATTAATCAGTGGACGAGTCACTCGCGAGACATGCTCGAGAGTTTCAAACGGTACTATAATAATTCTTTCCTGGATGCCCAACGACAAGAGGCATATAACCTTTTCCTGGGTAACTACATATTTACTCAGGGCCAGCCCATGTTGTGGGACCTTTCAACGGATTACTACCTGCATCATATCGACCCAAGAGCTTCCAGAAAACGACGCAGGTACTTATTTACCACCCCCAGAGTTTCAGGAAGTGACTAATTCAATTTAGTTATATAAAGTGGTGGACACCGAAGAATCTTGAGAAGAGAGTAATGCCACGTGCCACAAGGCCTCTAGACGAATTTGCGAATAAGCCATATAGCTACTTTGATGACTACTGGCTAGAATACTATAGACCAAAAGCACTCTCATCTTTCCTCAAAGTATTCTCTTATGACATCAATTCCACATTACGTTACATCCCGATAGGACAAACCTCGGAGGGAAAATACGATCTTAGCCCCTTCAAAGTACGCACAAACCATGGCGGTTCCAATCATAAAAAATCCAAATCCAAAAACAATGTTATCAATGCCGAAACCCCAGAGAATCGGCTTAAAAAGATAACCGCTCTTGAAGGATGGCCATCATCACCACAGAAGCAGCAACAAACCCTGCGACAAACCTCCAATCCTCAATTTCCGGGCCGTGATCACAATGCTGTTTCGGGAGATATGCATAGTGGACTCCGTTCTTCTAGTCCGGTCAAGCAACACTTTGCTGTGGGTAGAGATTTGATCCCACTTGAACAGAGGAATATGCAGCAGGTTGTTGAGAGGAGTCTTAATCCTTCACTCAGCGAAAAGGAAACTGAAGAATATGCACTGTAAATCAATTATTAACTCACTCCACACTATCTCATAACGACTGACTCCTAATAGTTATGTATCCCACCCCCTCAATCTTCCCCTCGTGGTAACGACTGAGCTCCCACCAAATACATCTCGCGATTTCGTCAACTATGTAAACAGCACATCACCAGAGGCCGTTGCAAACCTTAGAGCAACAGATAATGATATCAAAAGCTACGAGGAATTCCTGGAAATCCCAGAAAACCCATTGAGTGTGGATGAGGCAGACGGAGGTAGGGGCAGATACAGAGCTTATCAGTATTGGATCATGACGGGCAAATTGAAACAACAGAGGATCGGTATGGTGTCAGTCAAAACATGATTTTATGAGATCAATGGCTTTCGTTATGTACCCTCATTTGTTATTGCGGTTTAGCTATCTTGTAGTTTTCCTTTTGTCTAGTGTTCTGAACTTTTTTCTTTTGCGTAGCGGCAAGGCGTCATGGAAATACCTTCCTCTCGTCCATTCGAAATACCAAATTGCCATGGCAAACTCTTTGTCCCGGTAGCAGTGAGACGGAGCAAATATAGCAGAAGGTTATTCCGCAAATGTATACACATGGCAGACAGAGGACCACCTTGGTTTGTTCATATTGCTATTCACAATCTCTATATCTCCTATCCAAATCTCTGTATCTTTAGCCCGTCCCCTCCAACACATTAACATTCCCCCTATTACATGTCTACTCTTTTCCGACGATCGGAGCGGTAGCAACCTTTCTATAATGCCCTGGTTGCACTGCAATCCCATAATCAGCTTCAGTTCATCTGGGTGTTTCCACCATCTAGTTGATCGACAAGATACAAGGAATCAACTCAACCACCATGCTCTTCTGTAGCCTGTAGTGATGCATCATGAACTAATAGGGACCTGCCCCTCCCCGAAATGATCCCCATCTATAGGCTAGGCTTCACCTAGAAATATCTGTAGTAGATACTAGAGGTATGCGCAATGACCTGTCCCGGGAGCATCGTTTGTTTAATGCTTATTCTGGTTTGAATGGAGCACTAGATGGGAGTAAACATACCTGGTGTGGTGGCATAGATTACGCTCATATGAGTCCCGGGCGGAACAGTATGGCTACGGGGCTCTCTTAATCGTCTTAACACACCCTGCGACCACTTTCAGTTGCTTTAGGCCACCCGAATAATATTATTCAGGTGACCCACTTGCGTATGGTCAAGCTCCAACTGACGGGCTCTACCCTCAGCTATGTTTCCTCTAGTGACAAGACCCAAAGCAAAGGGCCCAACCGCTTAGTCCTAGCCGTACATTAGGTATGGCCCAAGTAGTGTCTCGATGGTGTCCATGCCAAGGCAGGCCAATGATATTTTGGACGAGTACGCATATATGTTGAGGAATTTTGATCATTACTAGCTATATTACTTCTATATAATTTTATTCGCCCCGAACGCCCCAGAGAAGCCAAATACGTCTACTACCAATCCCCATCACTACTGGCATTAACCAGCGCGTACAGCTCTTCGTCCCCGACGCCCACCTCCCAGTCCTCTCTTTCTCTCGCATCTCCATACAGCACCTCACACACCCCTCCTACGGGCACATCCATCACTGCATCAGTTCCCCTACCCCACAAGCTCTTCCAGTCTGCGTCGGTCCCTGGTAATACGCCTGTGCCCTTCCACTTCTCTGAACAGCTCTCCGCCCTGCCCCTGCCAGACCTCTTGGCCGACATTTTCGCCTCATACACCACCCTCCTCTGGCCACTGCTACTGTTACCGGCATCCTCCTCGCCCACTGCTGGCACAATGACGACGGGGGTCGCGACTCTCGGCGTAAAGTCTACCGCTGCAATATTGGCCGCGTCGTCAACTACGCTCTCGATATTGTCCAGTCCGCGCGTGAGGTACTCCATATTGTATGTTGCGAGCGCAACAAATATATACACCACCAGCATTACAAGAAAGCTCGGTATGGCTAGCGACCACCACCGCGACGGGTAGTAGTGGATGCCAACGGCATGGAGAAGCGCCGCGGGGGAGTATGACCAGATGATGTAGATGAGGAAGGCGAGCGAGGAGACGAGGTAGAGCACAAAGCCATAGTATTCGTAGGTGGGGACCTTTGGGGAGGCGCGAGGAGTGGACTGCGCGATCCGCGAGGAGGTAGCAACGGCTTCGGAGTCGGAGCTGTCGGGCGTGGTAGGTCGAGAGGGTGTGAACGGCGGGCGGAGGAGCGATGTAAGGGAAGGCGAGGGCGGGAGTGGCTAGTACCGCACTGTCAGCACTTTCCTGCCCCCTTAACTGGCGATAACGAGAGGGCATATATACAGTAGGTGGCCGGTTATAAAACGGCGGCGCAAAAGAGCTTCCTGCGCCTGGGCCCCAGCTCCAATTTGTTGGTAGGGATGCGGTCGAGGAACTGGACGATATGGAGGCTATGTCGTCGTCGTCAGAGTTGTTATTTGGGTCCTCGTCTGCGATAGCATTCTGTTTTCTGCGGGTGACCTCGCTGGGCAGGTGCGGAGAGGATGCGGAGGTTGTGAATGGAGGCGGGTGGAGCGTGGAGGGCATGTGGTGAGAGGTTTGAGGGTGTCTTGTCTTTTTGTTGACGTCGGTGTCCGCAGCAGTTTTTCTTGGGGATCGCGAGTGGATCGAGGTGATACAGCGATAGATACGATATATCGACATCCTGCACATCTGCCATCTGCTGCTCGACTCGCTGCTACTCCCAGTCGCAAAAAGCTCTCTCTCTAATATCAGTGAATGGGAATCGACTTGCTGCACGGTCTACTATTCCTGTCTATTCTGCACTCATCATCGTAGTCACATCACCATTACATACATCATCACCAACCATTACCACACCTGCTACATATTCACAGCATCGCATCACACAGCTACATACTAGGTTCCCGGTTTGTATGACGGACATCCATTCCGTCCTTTCATTACGCAACTCTCGGCCAGCCCTCAGCCACTCCAGGGAGCCAGTGTTGCTTCTCTTTCTCTCTCTCTTTTTTTTTTGTCCTGACGCCAACACAGTAAAATATGAAGGGAAAAAAACTATTACGCACTGCATATAATGATAGAAACGAAAACGCCCAGTACAGAAACAAGAACAATGTGAAAAGATAGAAAAACAAACAGAAAGGAAATGAATGCCCAAATAACACAGCAAAGAAATCCATAACCGTCTTGATGCACGTAGCCCTACTAATATATTCCCCTCATCATCAACGTAGCCACCTCAGCACCAAGTAGCAAAATACGAAGAAGACGATAACTCCTCCGTAAAATATCCACTTGTCCTGTGAGGCCCTTCTCTCGATCATGCGAATCGTATCCCTCGACACCCCCAGGGTGTTGGCCACACTGTACAGCTTCCTCTGGGTGTTTTTGAGCATCGCTCTCTGCTCTCCCAGATCTGCCAATACGGCCCTGCCTCTATCCAGATAATCATCAAGTTGGTCATTGGTCCTACTCATAAAATCCCTCTCTCTGAACACATGATCCTCCCTCTGCATACTGCCACTTCCCATGCCCAGCCCACTTCCGGGAGCAGGTGCAAATGGTGAGTGCTGCAACGATGCCGAGTGATTCCTCGTATGGGTATTCGCATATGGATTCTCCGGAGTCGCCGAGCTATGCCCGCGCCGACCCAGCAGCTCTCCACGGGCAACTGTATGCTCCTTCTCGGCCCGATCGCTCTTTAGCTGGTCAAACTGCTGCCTGAATTCGCTCATCTCTTTGCGGAAGTTCTTGACGCGCTGAAACGCCTTTTCCTGTTTGGCCGGGACAATCTCCCGGCGTGCCATGGAGTCGTAGTCATCGATTGTGCGCGCGAGCGAGGCTAGGGACGCGGATATCTGGCCTGTATGGTTGGTTGGTTTTTTTCTGTTTCAGCTGAAAGGGATCGGGCGAGAGAGAAACGAAAGGAGGGGGAGGGGCAGAAAAGCATACCTTGTAGTGCCGGGGATGAACTGACCGGAGACTCTGCGAAGCTTGCTAGGTCCTTCTTCACCGACGCCGTCTGCTTCAGCGCAGAATTAAATAATGAATTCTGTCTCACAAATCCGTCAGCCCCTCCTTCATCCCATCTCCCAATCTCCCCATACATCCTCCCTCTTCCCTTGTAGCCAGAAACAAACTCACCATCTCGACAACCTCAACGCGCCACTAGTCCTCGTCAGGGTAGCCCTTAGTCGTCTCGTTGCACTCAACAACAGCAATAGCAGAAACAGGGGATGCGCAGACAATCGTAGGCGACGGTGCGCAACGATGATGATGAACTCGATGGAGAGGTGGGGCGCACTGTGGAGATGGAGCTGGATGGAAAGGTATGGCGTTGGAGTAGTGGGGTCCGGCTTTGTTGGCGCTGGTGGCATCGGAGGGGGAGAAAAGGGAAAGGGCGCGCGGGGTGGGAGGGGCGGGAAGGGTTGGGTTTGGTGGGAAGTGGCCACGGGGAGGTTTCTGGGGCGCGGCTCAACGCGACACAGTATTCAGTCCGATGGAACTCTTTTCCTTGCTTCCTTCCTTCCTATCCTGCACCAAACTTCTGCTTCTCCCTCCGACTCGACTGAGCTAGGGCGCCGAACCTTTGAACTGAACTGGACTGAGCTGGGAGAGGTAATATTATTGATGTGCTAACGGAAACAGACACCGCAGGAGATATGAGAGAGGTAGCTATATAGGGCTATGTAATGTACGTATAACTGAACTGAACTGAACTGAGCTGACTGAATGACGATTGATAGATCGATAGACTGATAACTGATTTGATAGACAGATATAGAACTGATATTAGGCCGACTGAGTCTGACGGACTGACGGGCTGACTGACGTCGACCCCCTCCAAATGCAAGACCAGCAGCTCGGTAAGTTACCAGTGCTTGGAGGACCACTGCTATGGGATACCGAGGTACCGACGTTCCCCGCAAGTCACAGAGGGAGTAATTCAGCCAGAACGCCGATCACATTCTATCACTCAGACTCAGTTGAGATGAATATTGATACCCTTTCTATCCCCGGCGAGAATCAGTTATCCAAACATTTCTCCCCCATTCCATGGTTTGCCTGTTGTTTGTTTGCATATCACGCTTACAAGTCACAGATACCACAAAGCACATCACAGTATTATGGAGATTTCAGTATTTTCAGTGGAAAGATGATACAGTACAAACAAATAGTTTCAGTTTCAGACCCAACGCAAATCTTTATTACGAAGCAGCGAAGGCATCTTAAGGTTGCAAATTCTGGAGAGCCGTCGATGGAAAAAATACTCGACAGCTAGACATAGCCTGTAGACCCTCCTCTTCTCTCCTCTTCCGAGGAAGTCATTAACCTCCCAGCGTTCTCTGACGACGGCTCTCGGCCATCGTGTAACGATCTGGCAGTTCTGATCATTCTCTCTCGTCCCCACTAGTCAACGGTTGCATGTTTCCATGCACCGTGATCGAAAAAATCCCCCAGTATTCCCCACCGTATCTCGCCCCAACAATGCGTGGTAAAACAAATAAAGAAGTGTAAAGAGGTTAAAAAAAAAGATTCGGGGGAAAAAAAAAGGAAATCTCAAAAAGAACACACAAGACCAGGGCTCTAGTTTGCGATACTCCAGTAAAGAAAAAGACCCATACCCATAGTAAAGAAAGAATAAGAATAAAACAAGCCCAAACAAAACACCACACGATGCAAGTTATAATAGCAACGGTGAAAGAGCCTCCCAACTATTTCTTTCGCCGGTAACAAAAAAAGGAAATAAAACCGCTTCCCTATTCATTTTCAATCAGCTCCTCCGATTTACTTTTGTTAATGTTTTCGTGCCGTCATGAAGAAAAAATTAATAATACACATGGTTAAGATTGTCGAGTACCCATAGCGTTCAGACTTTACGGAAGTCTGTATATAGATCATCAGTAAAGAACATGTAAACACATGTACCAAGATGGATCTTACCGTTCAACACAGGGTATATGGACTCAAAGGCGATGTAAATCTCTTCACGGACCTTCGCGCCCGTCAAGACAATCTTGCCACTGACAAAGATCAAGAGAACGATCTTTGGCTTGATCATTCTGTAGATCAATCCCGGGAACAACTCAGGCTCGTAGGAGCTAAAGTGGTGATGGCGGGAGGCAAGACCTTCAAGACGAATGGGGAATTTGATGTCGCAAGATCCAACGATGTTTTGAATCTTGAAATCGGTGAACTTGGCATTGAAACCAAGCTTCTGGATGATACGTGCGTACTTGCGGGACGCAAGCTTGGAATCATCTTCAGACTTCGCACCAGTGACAACCATCTTGCCCGAGGCGAAGATCAACGCCGTGGTCTTAGGTTCGCGGATACGCATAATCACAGCAGCAAAACGCTAAAGTAGCCACAGCATAAGTAAGTGCTAAAACACAGACCAGGGGTCAGAGCAAGTAGGTTAGTAGTACCTTAGGATTGTACTCTGCGTTCCTAGCATGCAACGCAATCGTCTTGAGATCCAATCGGCAATCTAGATTGACGGTTGCGACGATGTTTCTTTATGCATGCCAGTTTAATTTTTGTTTTGATATATAAAAACCAAAATGGGAAATACTCACTGCAGTGTAGGAACAATCCCGCTAACTGACGGTGTACCATTAGGAGTGGCAGCCGGAGTCGCGGGAGTAGCGACAGGGCCAGAAGTGTTGTCATCGCCTTCGTGGTTATCACCTTGCTGCTTCTGGCTCTCGACATCCGAAGATGGGGGAGTGAGGTCACCGGCCCCGCCGGGGAACGACAAAGAAGTAGCGCTGGTGAAGTCCTTTGCTTGAAGGGCATTCTGAGGGTGAGAGATGATGCGAGACATGGTGATGGTAGTAATGTGGTGATTCTTATGAGGGTTGGTGGTTGATGGTGTCTTGGAGAATGTTATTTCCCCGAGATTTTGGTAGGGATTGTGGGTGTGTGCGAGGAGAAGAACAACCGAATGTTTCCCCTTTATGGCAATGTAGTGTTTTTTAAATTAAAAGGAGTGGCTACTCTTGATGTAGATTCTATGATAGTCGATTCACCTGGGTAGATTAGATGAACTGGCTGGCGTTGTGGCGATGGCGGGGTGGATGTTCAGGTGGATTTAAAGGTTTGGGGGATTTGGGTTGAGGCGATGGTGGCGAATTAACACAACAACGCAACACACACAAACTGATAAGGCCTCGGTAATCTTCCTGTCTCGATGACTAAGAGGGGGACAAAGTTGATCTAGGATAGATGGAGTGAGGGAACAGCGATTCGAACGCTGATCAGTTTGATAAGACGGAGTTTGGGGGATGAACAAACGGGGGTTGGTTCTGCGCGTGGGTGAGGCCAGAGGTTTTTAAAGAGAAGGGTGAGCGGGATGCGGGCCAGCTTATATACTACACCGCCAAGTCTTAGCCTTGTGCCGCAGATGTGACTCACACACGCTAAACGCCTCCAGCCCTCCCCTTTCGGCGCATGAAGGGAGGTGAGTCGCAGACTTTTCACAACCAGGCTGCAACAACAACGATTATCCACCACCTAAAACAGCCGGTCCGAAGCAACTTTTTTTGCTTTCAACCAACAAAAGGAATCTAAAATACACTGGCACTGTACAGCCCCATCTAGACGGCGATGCAGAAAAGATAAAAGGAAAAAAAGTACGTAGGTGTTAATAAAAATAATTAACCCCGTTAGATACCCCCGCTCTCATCTCGTAATTTATCTCACTCTCACCCTCACCCTCTCTGGTTCTGCCCACACATCCAGACACACATCACTAACAGAAGCTTCCAGCCCAAGCTGGAAGGTAAAAGAGCCTCCATAGAATAATGTTGACGGTCGCTGTGATTTCTTGTTGGTTGATGGTTGTGATTGTGATTGTCGCGAGTGACCCCCCTGTTCAACTGGGAGGAGCCTCCCTGTTTTTTTTCGCCGCCCCGCCCCTTTCTTTCTCCGTGTGCCGTTGACGCGTCGCTTTGTCCCCTTCATTCGCCCCCCTTAGAATTTGCCCCCAACCCAACCCAAGGACACACCGGCGGAAAAAAAAAATTTCGCTTCACCTGCTGCTGTTGCTCCGTTGTCAGTCTCGTCCACCCATTCCGTGTCGGCCTGTCCACCCTGATATTATTAGTGCCCCAACTGTCTGCTGTCCACCATATGCTTTGCTTGTTAATAATGAGTCAGTAAGAAAAATAACTTGGTCCGGTCAGTCTTCTAATCCTCTCGTACGAACGAGAGAGGATTAAAAAAAAATACACGAGAGAGTGTAAGAGAAAGGAAGAAATGAGGGCACTCTGAAAAACAAACGGCCTCTAAAAGGCACTTGTAAGTTGCGACTGGGAGGAGAAGTGGGGAGGCAAGGAAACAGAAAAAATCAAGGGAAAGCGGGACTCGAGTCGGGAGAAAAGAGGAGAGAGAGAGGCGCTGCAAATCTGACGGGGCTCCTTGAAACCGCAATCAAACGCCCACTTCTTGGCTCCACAGCTGACACGGGACAACGCCGCTTATCCTATTTTCAGCAACTGCTTGTGTTGTGAACCCCCAACTCTTCCAAGGATCGCCGCTTGCAGCTTCACCGACCCTTGCGGCGATGTAACTAGCAATTTGAACAAAAATGTCAACTGGCAAAATGGCTTGTAAGCAAATGCCAACTTACAGCAAAAATCTGCGGCAAAATGCTGGTTGCGGCTCTTGTTTTGCTGGTTGTCCTAAAGTCAGTAATGATGACACGGCTAAAAAAAAATTGGAATTCTCATTTCGGGGTTCGCTTGGTTTTAGATGGTTGGGAACGCAAGGAGGAAGACCAACGATGCCGTGTGAAGCGGATCAGCAACAGAACTCTGTTTTCGACAAAGACTGGGAATGTTTGTGCTCTTCCTCCTTGCGTTCCCAGCCATCTAAAAACAACCGAAAACCCCGAAATCAGAATCAGTGGTGTTGTGGTGGTGGTTGGTACGGGTCCCAGCCTTTGTTTTGCTGCAGCCAACAGCATATCAGTCCAATCAGTTGAGAGACTCGTATCACGTGCCGACGGTCGCTCGCTCGCTCTCATACTGGACTATCTGCTCATGACTCTCAAGAAGAGACTCATGATACGGTACAGGTACTCGGAGTCGAGTCAATCTAATGACACACTCACAGTAGTTGCGAATCGGCCATGCGAGTGGGGTTTCTGAAGAAGTGATGTCGCTTGGGAATCAAAAGCAAAACAATGGTAGTTGCGGGAAGTGGCGAAGGTTTTACGAAGGAAGAAAGGAAGGGCGAGTTCTCTCCGTCACTTCGAGTAATTATATCTTGGCAGAGCCGAGTGAGTGTGCGCTCACGCACAACAAGGCACGCAGGCATGGTATCTCGGCATTCAATTATTTGAATCACATAAAGAAAACACCACCGCAAAACATTGCAAACAGAACGTACAGAACGCCGTCGCTTAAAAATTACCATACCCCGCAACTCCAATTTTAAAGGCCACAAATAATTCATCTCAGTAACACCTACACTGACATGTCCTGACTGTCCTTCTGATCTACTGAGAAAGCTTTCCTCTCCAGCAAATTCAATATCGACGAGCCTGGTGATCTATGTTGGTTGCAAATGTGATGAATCCATCATACGTGCACCATACTGATATGTTCCCCTCGCTAGAAAAGAAAAAGCAAGCAAATTATGTTGCCTTTTCCGCTACGTCGTCCTCCTCGAAGCTATGAATCTTCTTGCTATCAGTACCTCGCTTATGATTTAAAGCTACAAGATGCTCACCTTATTCGCAAATTCGATCCATTCGTCGATTCCTCTGACAACACTATCGCTACTTTCGTCAGGAATAGCATCGTGACCCCAAATTGTAATCTCGTCGAATGTACACAACCCCTTGAAGATATTCACGTCCAATTCTTCTTCAGAGATTGGTGGTGTTGAACTCTGGTCTTCGGACTGTAACTTCTCCTCTGTAGCTTCGAGAATGTGGCCTGTTCATGAAATGTCAGTGGGTACATACATGTATCTTTGTAGTTCGAAAGGTATCGGTAATACCCTTGTAGCCTTCAGGCACCGGAAGAGATTTCCCAGCCAACTTCCTCCCTCGGAAAGATGCCGATTTTGGCTCTATACAAACAATAAGAAATCAGCAGTGCACAGGGGACATAGACATAGGAGGCCTCTCTAAGAATAATATACTACCATCTTCCCCAGATCCCTCAGTCACAACCCAATGTTTCTCTGTGGCGTCCGTAGGACCTGTATATTTGATCTGGCACGGCAATATGTTGCATTTCGCTGGCTTTGAGGACGTCTGAATTGATAGCATTTTTAATGTGAGAAGGCAGTTAGTTGTACCTACATGAGTCTAGGTTCACACGCGCGATAGTGATAGCCCGCGCGTTAGGTTTATCGCGAAATCTTGGCGTGCGCATGACGTCCCAGCATCCCGCCGTTTAAGGCAACCTTCGAGAAACTGCCTCTGAATTCAGGCCCGAAGCTAAGAAGGGTATCTTGCCGTATCTGGTTGGCGGTGCCGCATGTTTGTTTCGACGTCAATTGATGTTCAAAGAGATCGACGGGGGGATCTAGGAGATCGATTTCAGGAACCAGATTCAAGTTTAAGGCTCTGCTCTTTTATGCCTATTGTCAATTCGAGTTTCAGTTTACGGTGGTGACTCTCGTCTGGCACTGGGTGAGTTGTTTACAGCATGGTTATGCCCAATTTGTTAAAACAAACACTCGCATTAATTCGAAACTCGAATCAGACTCAAAACAGGAGATTTGTTTGAAAATTCACGCCTTGCAATTATCTACATACATGTACCTCTACCTGTATAGACAATTGTACAAGCCGCGCCTAAAGTTTGGGAATGAGACTAATTCTGAATACGTGGCATCTACAACCTTCCGTCACCCATTATCACTCATATCAGAAGCAGAGTGAAAAGTTACTATTTCCAAACTGAACGCATTAAACCCTATAATAGTTGACATCGAATATCTCCCGTCCCAGAGATTCCTATCTCTGCCAATAAAACTCCCAAAATTGATCTATGTATGTATGTTAGGGTTGGAGTACGTACCAGTTATACAACATGTAAGTGGCCAGTTCCGACCAGTTTTCATTATTCACCACAAACACCAACCAACGATACCACGGCAGTATTCTCTATAACATTGCATGATTTGTGCCATATTTCTATTGGTCTATATATAAAATGGCGAACCTATAGCATGTATACTTTGAATTGAGACACACGCCCACACACACACCTCGGGAACTCGATGGACGGAATTCAATCTCAAAATACTGTTTAAGACATCATGATCACGATACAGCATTTAAAGCTAGGACTATCAGGGACTATTAATGATTGTGCTATAATTTACATTAGATTTAGGTGTCCTATCTGGATGCAAAATTTAAAATCCGTGCATACATGCAGGTACCCTAAAGCTTGTATGCAGAAGTCACACCCCCCCCCCCCCAAAAAAAAAGCGTTTTTTACTGGAAGAAAGATATCAAGGGAATACATGTAATACTATTACTTACAAAGCTCTTGGAACCCCACACAAAAATTAAAAGCTAACGATGAATTCTATCACACACCCACTGCTTGCACAAGTCAAACCTCTCGCAGAGAACGACTTCAGATAAAAGATCGATGAGATTCGTACCACCCTTCTCATCTCATCTCTAAACAGGCACTTTAAGGAGATAAATAGTCCTCAGGGTAATCTACATATAGCTAGACACCTCCAAATACTGTCTTCGATATTAATCAGCAGCAAGGGAATCTAACTCCCCCATCATGTCAGCCTCGATCGGTACCGGGCATAAAAAGCCACCAACCCCCAGCGCATGCTACGCATTAAAACCAATATATCTGGGTTATTAATAGCAATTTATATAAAAAAGATGGGCTGTTATCGTATGAGTTTCTCTACATCGACGAAACTATTAATGAAAAGCTATATTGCTTCATGATCTATCACTCGGATTGGAACATGGAACACCACAAAAAAACCTCGATATTAATACTATAATTACTACAGCGGATAATGGCGGAAATACCCTACCGCTATTTTCGGTGCCAGCATAATTTAAATGGCATGGAAGTTTATAAACGAAGTAATGCCTTAAAAAGGTAATCATATCAATGAGATGACCCCGGCAGGAAACCGAGTGCATATACATGACCCAGAGCCCCATCTTCCAATATCGGCACATGCAGTGGGGGAAAGGGGCTCGGGGGGGAGGGGTGCGGACGGTTGTTGAGTACCGGGTGCTCAAGGCACTATCATATCCATCCATATCTCGGCCAACAAACCGGTTCGGAACTACCGGAACAACTTGGGGGCAGACCCTTGCGGAAGGGAACAACTATCACCCCTCACTCCAGTAACAGCGACAGCAGCAGCAGCAACTGCCAGGCAGCATCTTCATCCAAACACCCCACCACCACCAGCCTCGGGGGATTTCCACGGATTACCGAAGATATTCCGGGTCTAACCTTCTGCCTTGGCCAGTGCTGCTCATGCTGCAGAGCACATGACGGAGCGGTGGGTGTTTTTATCAAACGGCAAGTTCCAAGCGTGCGGCGGTGATTCGTTGCTCATCGCAATCATTTTGGTCGGTTTCATTATCTTTGCATGTACCTGTGTACGAGTAGGGCATGTAGAGTAGTAGGCCTGCCTACATCCTACATGTATGACTCCGATATAACCTCTACTCTACCAGAACGGACGGGGTCTCGAGTAGAGTAGAGTACCTTAACCACCACCCTACATATATGCGTGCGTGCTGGAGATAGAGCATTGATGCACACGTGTAAATCAAGTGGGCGGGTTGACAGGGGGAATATTACAGCATGAGTGTTGTAGACTACGTAACTTGAGGGTAGTCTCCATACTTTTTTTTCCCAATGTGTTGTAGGTAATCAATTCCAGCACGTCCTATCAATTCGATGGAACTTGACCCCGAGCAGACAGACAGCCTCGTTACCAAGAATCAAGAAAGCTGTTGCTCCACAAATTCTGTCTGTCTGTCGCTTCGCTTCGTATCAGAATCATGAAAAAACAAAAAATACACACAAAAACAAAAAAAGGAACAAAGGAACGGTGGGTTTCCAGTGCATCGGGAACCCGCTTCCCTTCTCCCCACAATCCTAGCTCGAAGCACATGCTTTTCCAAGGGATGTTCGACGCCAGGCTAGAAGCGTGCATGATTAGGCTTTTTCAGGGCTAGGCTGAAGGGGGAGGGTGAGGTTATTTGACTGGGTATTTTCACGTGTCAGTCAAACGAATATTCCGGTCAGCCAGGAGGAAAGAAGGGATGGAGGATGGGATGTGATAGGATAGGAGAAAGGCCATAGGATAAGGAACAGTCGGGTAGACAATTCAGACAGCAAACGTGGATTCGAGCGTCGGATACGAAGAAGGAATAGGGTGGAATTGAATTGGGAAGGAATTATTATCCCAGCGGAAGAGTTGCTGCTCGGAGGAAAGAAGGAGGGGGTATGACGATGTAGTTGGAGGTTGAGTAGGTAGGTGATGGAGGTGGCCATGGTGGTGGTGGGCTGTTTCCCATATCTACTCCTACTACTACTACTGCTGCTACTACGTACATAACTTTCAGTGCTTGCGATTTCTGATATAATGAAATCAAAGCTCCTCCTCCTCCTTCAATTCAGATAAACCAGACCAATTTCCACCGTCCATCACCAACTACCGTCGTTTCTGTGGGTGCGATTATCCGATTCTCCCTCGATCCTTGCCCCCCACCGACACGCACACCCATCCCCTCCTCACAACGACGTTCTCGCTGCCCATTCAAACATCAGTCCGGGGACCTTGTTTGCAGCAGTAGCAGCAGCAGCAGCAACAAACTCCAACAACCCTTCACATCCCCCCCTTCTGCCTCTTAATAATAATCCCCACACTCGCTGTACCCCGTATTATATTACTGCCTGGTCGTTGTTGCCCGGTAATCCTTTTTTTTTTTGCAACAAGGACACACACACACACCCATAGTGACGTTGATATAACATCATATATAAAACCTCCTTTCTCTCGTGGACCTAGACATCTCATTGTCCGAATCTATATATTCACCATCCTTAATGGAACCGGAGGTCCGGTCCCGCAGTGGTCTTGCACGAAAGGCCTTTCTTATCAATGGTAGAATACAATCCCTCTCCTCCCTCATGTCTCTCCTAAATATACGATGACATCGTCCCCAAAACCCACCCCTTACAAAAAAAATCCCCCCACTAACTCAACAACTATTTAGAAATCCTCACCGAGCCCTCCCTCTACAAAGTCCTGGGAGTCACCAGCCGAGCCACCGAATCAGAGCTCCGCCGGCACTACCTCGACCGCAGCAAGATTGTGCACCCGGACAAGCTGCCCGCGCATCCCAACAGCACGGAGGCCTTCCAACGGCTCTCGCATGCATATGAGATCCTGCGCAAGCCCAGCCTGCGGGCCCACTACGACCGCGAATCAAAGAGCTGGAATGGCGAGCACCGCGAGTTCTACCCCGGCGAGACGTCATTCATCTCGGGCGACCAGACGTTCAAGGGTGCCGTGGTCAGCATCCTGAACGAGTTCCTCAGTGGTGATTTCGGCCTGGTGAGAAAGCTGCTGGAGGCGCTGAACAAGCAGTATCCAAGCCTTGTGAACGAGGAGGTTATTGGTTAGTTACTTTTTCCTCCATTCGTTCCCCCTTTCCCTTACCGCCCTGTTTCACCTCCTCCCACACACACACACACACACACATATACAGACGCATGTCTTATCAAAACGGCGGGCGAATTGCGAATCTAACGTTGCGGTGTTGTGACAGTTGCCATTGAGCGTGCATTTGGCCGCATCCGCGAGCTGATCCTCACGACCCGCACCTACGCCCTCCTGATCTCCATCGAGCTTGGGCGGATCCACCGCGTGCAGAAGAAGCTGCTCTCGCTCGGGTACTTTGACGTTATCGGGCGCGTGCGGCTCACCATGCAGCTCGTGCGTGTGACGCTCGCCGTGCCGGTGCGGGTCGACCGCGCGCTGCAGCGCAAGGAGGAGCGCGAGTGGCGAGCGAAGCAGGCGGGCTGGACGGCCGTCGGCGTCAAGGAGCACGGCAACAATGGCGCTTATCTGCTGAATGAGAAGGTTAGTAGGGTGCTGGCGTTCATTGCGGGGGATAAGATGGAGGATGAGGAGGAGGACCGCGACTGGATGGGGAGGTTTTGGGGGGAGCCTGCAAAGGCCGCTTGAGATGTTGGCTGCTAGCTTGCTCCCGTCCCGATCTGGGTGTTGCCGGCTCCGAGTTTTTTTTTTGTGTGTGAACGGGGTGTTCACGATGGCTTCTTTTCACCTTGTTTATTGTTGGGTTAGCTTTTGTGTTATTTTTTTTTTTGAAGCCTCTATTTTGTTATAGGCGGCATATATTGATCTGTGGCATATTGGTAGGTTTGGGATGTTTTTGTTTCTTGTTCTGTTTGGGGGTTGGGCGTCATTTCACAACCAAAAATTTGTGGTATATAGATTGGGTTTTGTTTTGCGAAGGGTTTTCTTTTCTTTCTTTCTCGGGGCTTGGCTTATGATTTCATGACTTTCTTGTTTTTTCTCCATATTCGTTACGGGGGAAGGCGGGCAAATACTTAAAGCTATCTGCAAAACATGATACGGAACGCTGAACGAGTGATAACCTGTGCGGCAACGGCAGGTCCTCTATATATTCATCGCGGTGGGGAATTCGTTTATTGCTACTTGACCAAATGCTCATGTTTTTACTCGCTTTACTCTCCACCTCCACCTCCACCATTGAATGAAAAAAAAAACATTTGAAATTGCGTGCTCATTCATAGAAAAGTAGGTGAGAAGTGACAGATACTGATCAGATATGTGATATCTCTCACAAACACATATCAAAACAAGTATTTTGTAGCGATTGGTCCCATCGCCTCGGGGCCCATGTAGGGAATCGAGATGGATCTCTGCGAGCATTGCACTTCTAGACTGGGGTGCCTTATGTAAAGCAAGGCAAAGCAAAAAAAAAAAAAGTGAGAGACCCAACCCTCCTTCTTGACATGTCTTGGCAACAAACAGACAAACAAACAAACAAACACTGGGGGGTACAGTCGCTCACCTATGTACTGACGGCGGATGGTATCCTGTCTGATGGTCCTGTTTGCAGTAATTTGCCCTTGGCGTCGTCCATAACCTAACTCTGTTATTGGCTTGAGTGAGTGTATATGTACGGCGTCGGCGCCGGACGATTAGGATACGGGCTGTTGCGATTATCAATTGCTATGCAGACCGACCTATTCTATTTCCGTGGAATGGATCGACTGTGTTGCCGTCTGTTTGCGCGTGTCTATCTTTTTGACCCTCTTGTTACTGCCGAAAAACAAATAAACCAGGGTAATTAATAGTCGACGTTCGGCCCTCGGAGCGCCGGTGGTGGGACAAGAAGAAGAGGGAGAAGAAGAAGGGCCGGGTCGGGGTTAGGATTATACGGCGCGGTGAGTGAGGTGAGTAGGTGAGTGAGGTGAGTAGGTGAGTGAGGTGAGTAGGTGAGTGAGGAGTGAGGTGAGTGAGGTGAGTGAGGTGCGTCACGAAGTGTCACTCGCTGGGCTGGGCTGGGCTGGGCGGAGGGAGGTTGACCCGGTTCTGGGGGCTGACAGGGACGCTCGCGTCATCATCATCCATCACATGTGAAAAAACTAAAAACGGTCTTGACGTGCGTGCGTGAGGTGGCTATTGTTATTATTATTACTGAGTCTGTTCTGTAATTGGGGGATTGGGGGACGTTATTTACCCTGTCGCTTGGGAAAAGCCTTGTGTTGTCGCTTCGATATCGATATCTCCAGCTAGGCGCGTGTATCAAATGTCCTTGCGTTTCCCTCACCGAGATAAACCTATCCGGGAGGACTTGCTGCTGGGCTGCGGTAGTCGTGCCGATTAGCTACGGTGCCTAATCTATCATTATTACCCCACAGCCCGCTAAGATATCCCTCTCTCTCTCCTCCAGGCGTAATCAGTATTGTTCACACCGCATCACTCGGCGCAGGTGTAGAGGAGACAGCTGATCGATATCACAACCAAGCTGCATATAGTTCGATATCAACACCCCCCTACTCTAACGCCCGAGGAGAAACGATTATAAACACAACTGCAGAACCCTAGGGCCTGTGAATGCCTTTTTTTTTTTTTTTTTTTTACTCTATATATATAGGCAGCAGATAAAAGACCCCTCGGATAGCCTTTTGGATTAGGGAAGTATTTTCCGGCCGTGTTATATAATTACCAAGTACCCGGCGTGGTGCAGGTTAATTCATTATTTATGCAAAGACCGCATAATCATATAGTGCTGGATGGATCATGTGTGTAGCTAATGGGCAGCTATGTAGCTAACTGAAGCTGTAGGCATTACTACGCCCAATTAGTGGCTTAACAGCAGAAGTTAATCAATGATCTAGGTACTACGCCCAGTACCTAGAGTACAGGTCGTTTCACTACATACCGGTTCAAGCCCTACATACCCACCTAGAGATACTGGTTCACTGCGCGGCCTTATGATTGGCCAATAGCTATCTCCCTATCATGATCCAAACCCCTGTTATCCACGACATCACGGGATTTGAGCCTCAGCGCCGGGCGTACCGTTAGTCAGTCAATACAGCAACCCAGGCGCACCTCACCTCACCTCACCCAAGCTCACCCACAGCTCCAAGGTCCAACCCCACGCTCGCTCACAATGCAAACCACCTTCGTCCCCTTCAAACAGCGCCCCCACCGCCCGCGCTCCCGCTCCCGCTCCCCCTCCCCAGACTCCGAAACCCCCGACTGGCGCCTGCAAAAACCCTTCGGCGCAGGCCTTCAGCGCAAACGCCACGTCAAGTTCGTCCCCGCCACCGACACCTCCCTCTCCACCTCCCTCCCCCCCACCACCGCTCCCACCACCGCCAAAACCGGCGCCGAGGTCTCCTCCCTCTACCTCTCCCTCATAGGCCTCTCCACCCCGCGCCCCGCGGCGCCCCCCAAAACATGCCCCGACTGCGCCCTTCCAATCACCGACGCCGACGCCGCCACGCACGCCACGTCGACCGCGCACCTGGCGGCCCTCCCGCACGCACACCCGCCGCACCCGTATGACCGCTCCAGCAAGGGTCTCAAGGTGCTGATGGAGTCCGGGTGGGACCCTGACGCGCGCGTGGGGCTGGGGAGGGAGGGCGAGGGGATGCGGTATCCGCTCAAGACCGTGCCGAAGGATGATAAGCTTGGGGTGGGGGTCAAGAAGCGGAAAGGTGTGGCGGGGACGGGGGCAGGGGCGGGGGTGAAGAAGAAGAAGGAGGGGGTGAAGGAGGCGAGGAGGAGGGAGGAGGTGGGGAAGAGGGTTAGGGGCAGGTTGATGGGGGAGTTGGGGGGAGGGGTGGATGTGCAGGAGATTCTGAATCGCAGGATGGAGTAGAGAGGGATAGGTTTATTTTTTTTTTGTTTAATGCATTAATTGCATGAGAGGGATAGATTGTTGTAATGGGCGGCTTTTTCCTTCTTCTATTCCTGCTTTGCTTTGGAGTTTTTAGCTGTGCTTTTTTTTTTTTTTTTTTGTAAGATACGTACGTAGAGATGGGAGAGCTTTATATTAGTAATTAAACTGGGAGAACTAGAAGGATACAGGGCTTTATTGGCTCCCATAATGATGGGTAGCTTGATACAGTATATATCTGTAGGGGGAATTTTAGCAGAAAGAGGGATAGGGATATCAACACAGAAGTAGTTGCTTTGTAGTTTCTTATATTGCAGCGCTGGCTGGCGGAGGGAAATGGCCAGTTTGGTTGGTACACTCGCTCACCTGGTGACGGTGAGTACTACATGTATGTGATGGCCGTGTTTGCAGTAATTTGGCGGCATCACAAAGTCAATTCTACATACTATACTCGTCCTCAATCCCTCTGCTTTCATGCTTCCATGGTGGGCATCTTGCTGCTAAGTGCGGGATGGGTACGAGATATATTGGCCTGACAATTGGAGTTATGGGAGCTTTCTCTGCATCACAGAATATCACTCGGAAGCTACACCGTAACAATCGTGGGCCATCAAGATAAAGCGCCGGGCAAAGGAAAAAGCATCATTCACATAATTTATATCTACAAATACACCATAAATAGTGTTCGTGTTCTCGTCTATACGAAGGAATCTTTTTTTTTTCGAAAGAATAACACTCTGTTCGGAAAGATATATCAACAGAAGCTACTTAATGCCAAACCCCCAAGGAACAATTTTTTCTTAGTCTCTTCCTTGCCAGTTAGGATTCTGAAAGGGAAAAAAACGAGGGTAGTTAGCATATTTTGATTCACTTTACATTAAGAAGGAAGGGGGGGGGGGGGGGGCGAGACGGTCTTACTTTTTTCAGAATCACAAGCCCTTCAAGGGTGTTACTGAGAGAAATGTACTCGTCGTCTTCCAGCTCTGCCCTCTCACCGTAGGCTAGCAGAACAGGGGTATTTTGTGTCTGCCATCCCGTGATAGTCTTTGGCCTTCCAGCCTGCCCGACAACATCTACAGCCTGCCCAACCCGGACATTCACAGGAAGAGGCTCGAGGTTCTCGTCCAAGGTGATGAGGAAGCGAGGGTGCATGGCCGTTACAAGGAAGTATAGCAGGTAATGTGCGGAGTCAAGAACAACTATTAGAGATAGATATTAGTAAAAGTCACATGACATGGGGGTCATGTTACTTACAACTCTTAGCATCAACCAAACTAACGAGCACTGTAACCAGCCCAGCTGTAGCCACTCTGCTCAAGACACTGCGGTCGGTATGGAACGGGTTGACACTCAACGTTCCCTTGCCCATGTGCAGCAATCCTTGGGCTATCCTGACCATAAACAAAGAGTTGGGGTCTCGGTGGTAATAGCTCGCAAGCTGTCTCAACAGCTGGGCCAGGCGGGCGTTGTTTGTTCCTGCGCCAACCAATCCCATGGCAAATATCGCGTTTATCGCCACATCAATATCGTTGTCGTGAGAATACCTAGATAATGTATCGTAGACCTTTATTTGAGGGTTTGATGCGCTTAGGAGACCCATAGCCAAAGGTACAGTCTTGCGAATCACACCATCGCCATAATGCATTAAATGCCCGAATTGTCGCAGAGCCATCTCAGCGCCAATATCCTCTCCCATGGCGATAAGAGCCAGCCCAATTACGGCATATGACTGGAAAAGATCATCATCTTTCTTTTCGTCTTCTGATGAATCAATGTGCTCGTTGCAAAGGTGCAGCATACTCTGGAATTTGAGCACATTTCCGGTCCCCGCGTAAGCACATGCATCTACCAAGACACCGGTGTGCTTGGCAATTGGGTGCTCGACGGCCTTCAAGGTCTCCAGAGTGGCATCTGCATCCTCTTGTCGGCCAATGAAAAGAAGGGCCAAACCAAGTGCAAGGAAGCGTCCCCATTTATCCTTCAATTGAGAGTCGTCTCTTTCCATGAGGGTTTGCAAGATTGTGCTAGTTATATCACCATTGCTCGAACCAACAAATATCAACCCAAGAGACAAAGCCGCCATAGCCGAGATATGCATCGATAGCGACGTGTCGCTAACAATGGGTAGAAGGAGGTCCAGGAGTTCAATACGTTGCGATCCTGCGTACGCTAGTCCAAGACCCATGATCGCGCTTACTCTTATGTGGGGGCTCTTGCTGTCAAGGTAGGATTCATCAGCAAGCAGGGCCATTGCCGAGTCGGCCTCAGTTCGGACGCCGGAATTAAGGATACCAATAGCGAGAGCTGCTCCGGCCTTGATATAATCCTCGTTGGCGTACGTGTACTTATCAACAACACCCAATCCAAGTTCTACGTTCCATTGGTGCAGCATTCCAATACTAGCTGTAGCACTCAACATACCAAGATCCTTGTTCTTAAAAACCCAGCTATTACTTTCATCCTCTACCAGCATCAATTTGTCAGTCCCAAACCCAGCGTTGACAAAAGAGTTAACAAAACTGTTTGCTAGATTCTGCTTCGCCGAATCCACAGTTACACCAGGTCCACCGCGAGAGCTTTCTAAGTGTGATTTATATATGTCTTCGGGAGTCTTGGGGTCGAGAATGTTCAATTCCTTGCCGAGAGCGGCGAAATACTTTGACAAGTTGGTATTATTTAGACACTCGCCAATATCTTCATCGGGAGTGTCAAGCCAAATTTGCTGTCGAGAAACAAGGAAAGCAAGCTGTTTCTTAAGGACTTGGTCGTCTGTCGCGTCAAAATCCTCTTGGATCAGGTCCAAATCATTAAGGCGTATAGCAAGTGTGATGGCTTGCGCCAACTTATTGAACTTTCGGTAAATGCTGTGCGCGGTTTCGAGGGTAGTTTTATCGTCGGGCGGGGATAGAAGTGGAACCATGCTAAAAAGGAAAAGAAAAAAAAAAGACCAAGGTTAGCCACGAACCCCCCTATCGCAAATAACTTGTTTTTGTCATACCTAACCATGTACAACCCTACTCTTTGGTAGGTATTCTCATCTAGGAAAGGTGGTAGCTCCTCAATAATTTCCAGCTCCAATAACAGATCCACTGCATCTGCCTCTGCGTTATGTTTGAGGAAGAAAGGTACAAGGGACAGCGCAAGATCAGTGAGATCTTTTGTATCTGCCTCCTTCTCCGAGCGAGACGCATATTCCGCCCCAATCTCGAGGGCCAAATGCCGAACATACTCGTGACCCCACGAACCCAAGTCTTCGGTAGGAGCAAGCAGCCTATATTTAAGAGAGTCCAAGGTATCTTCGTCGGAGTAGGTCATTCCTAGTACTGAAAGAACATCGGCAAGCGCAACCTTCTAGAATTAGTCATGAGCTCCGAAACCGAATTTCAAGAAAAAAGCTAACCTTATCATCTCCAGCGGGCCATTTTTCATAAAGCTCTGTCATTGATGGGTAGTGAGATCGTAGAAATTTTAGGGGCTTGGGAACGGCCGTCATTGAAGAGGTCGATGTTCGGATGAAGTTTTTGACGGCTTCCAAGGAAGGCTTGTAAAGTTCGGTATTTGGTTCCTAGATCAGAACATAATCAGGAATCGCATTCTTCATACTTGATAGAAAAAGAGTAATAACCATTAACCGCTCCACGAGCATTTCGAGCTCTGACTTCAGCTGCTGGTCCTCCTCAGATAGTTCCTCTGTACCATCATCAGCTTCATCAAATTATAACCCCGCTTTCCCGAGTGTAATAATACCTTCTTGTGGTTCATCTTTCTTGTCTTTCTTTGCACCGGTTGAAGATTTGCCGGTATTCTGTTTGGAGGGGTCGCCATCCTTCTTATCCGGGGTGTCAACGGCCTTTCCCTTGCCCTTGTCGAGCTTTGTCGACTTATCGTCCTCCTTGACCATGATGCTGGGGAGTAGATAATTTGATATAGGACGGATGGGATACACGAAGATGATGAAAATGGATGGATGGTTGATGAATGAGTTGATGGAGAGTGGAGTAGAGGTTGTGGTGCTAGGATAAAGTGTAAGGTGGGAGAGATGATGATAGTTTCGCGGGAGGTAGCGGCGTAACCTCTCGCGTCGCTTGGCCCCACGTCTTAGTAAGAATTGCCATGGGCACCACCACCCACCAATGCGTCCATCACAGAGCTCTGCAGAGGGGCATACAGCTTTATCCACAGTAAAAGAGTCGCTCGCTTAATATTTTCGAGCAATTAGGTACATCGTTCACATCATCATCCTTGCTCTCAATCTAATTGTGATTGTTACAGCTCTTTACTACCACTACCCCCGCACCTGCAATACACCCACAGCTTTTATTCTCGAGTCTCAGTTTGTGTTGATGCTGAATAGATGGCTCCTCCCCCTTTAGACCGCAAAGACCTTCATGAGCATCCATGGAAACGACGTGCCGGTTTGGGTTTTCGTCTCCCCCGTCGCAGCCGTCGAGCGACATATCTCTGCTATGCATTGATAATATGTCTGCTTTACCTCATTTTGAATTCAGTCACCACATGGACACACATACCGAACCCAGCAGGACTTTATAGGCCCAAGGAAATTATTCCCATTAACTTTTTAAATCTCTACGACACCGCTCCCAGAGCTGTGGGCGGGTCAAGATTTCAAAACCGGAATGTTCTCTTTGCAGCGGAGAGTTTGGAAGCTGCGAGTAAACTCGCCGTGGTTGCCTGCGAAATGGCAAATTTCAAAAGAAACAACGTGCACTTTGCGCTTTTGGGAAGGGATGATATCGACATTGAGGTGTTCAAACAGCTCAACGGAATTTCTACTGAATTGGGAGGCTGTAACGTCGCATTTCACGATGCACGGGCAGAAATGGTTAGCTTGATGACAAAGAGCCGAATGAAGCTGGCGATGAGGTTTGGGCTAAGGCATTTGCATGAATTTATACATCCTCAAGCTATCTTTTTTTCTGTGGAACATGAGGAGGAATGGTTCATGGACATGGCACGTAAGACAGCTGGACAGCTACAAATGCAGGTGCTAGAGCTTCCGAGCAACACAATCGATGAATTAAGATGGATTACAAGACTTGATAGTGGTTCTCTCGCGGGTATTTGATTTCCCCGAACCCTTTTCTAATTGTGATATTTATCTGCCGTAGCTCCAAAGGAGAAATAAGCTGATTCGTTGCTAAATCCCCCAGCGTTAAAAAAGCCATCTTTCGAGATTGTGATACACGCCGATAAGCATTCTGGAAACCTAGAGCGTCTTCTAAAATCCCTTCAAGCCGCTGCCTATCCTTTTGGGCACCATCCGAAGAGCCTTACAGTTATTCTCGACCCGTCTTCTCCCTTCCATGGCTTCACCAAATCATTCCTTTCGGGTTACTCATTTCCATCACGTACTCGCACTTTTATTCGAAGGCCCATCAACCCGGCTTCATCCGCCGAAGATACCGCAAGGCGGTTCATGGAATCCTTCTACCCCAGCAATGATGATACTTTCCTTCTAGTACTTGACGCAAACGTTGAACTCTCGAAATGGTACTTCCATTACATTCTGTGGACAACACTTGAATATAAATATTCCCTTTACCAGAAATTGCGAACAGCATCTTTATTCGGAATCTCTCTCGAAGAGCCGCCGTCGTTTATAAATGGAACAAAACCATTCACCGCCCCCTCCGGGGAGCCATCCCCGTTTCTCTACACAGCACCAAGTAGCCGCGCAGCACTCTATTTCCCACAACATTGGATTGAATTTCACTCATACTTTTCTCAAAGTCTCCTATTTCCGACTATGGGAGCAGCTTTCACGAACCAAACAAGTTTAACTCGTCTTACAATGTCAAAAGAGATTACAGATTCCTGGTCCACCTCATTTATAAACCTCATACGTTCCCGGGGATACGTGATGCTTTACCCTTCATTCCCCAAAGAAGCGCTTGCTATAGTCCACAATGAAACACCATCTTACACCCGAACAAAACATGGATCCGAAAAGACCCTGATGGACAAAAACAATGTTATGAGAGACCTTCCGACCCAAGCTTTACCAATTTACAACACGATAGCACTGGTAGACTGGTGGGGTAGGTCAATGCAATGGGACAAGCTAGAGCTAGACGCTCTACGTTACCGACAAGCCACTTCCTTATGCCCTACCTCCCAGACAGCGGGGTTCAGTTTTGATGCTGGTGACCTGTTTTGTGACGAGAATGGGAAGCGTTTGTTATGATATCAAAATTTATCGCTATCGTATCAAACACTATAGATTTAGGGTGGCGTTATCCTGGAGGGATGGACCTTGTGTTATTAAAAAATTGTATTGTCTTGTAATTTCTTTGTCTCAGATATCCCCCCCCCCCCTTTTTTTTTCGTTCTTACATATTATGTTTGCTTAACGTCTTTGGCGTGTTTTTAATCTAACCTCCATAAGTACATGTACTCATTGTGCTATCCCCAAATTTTCATGAATTCACCCGGCTCAGGCCTAATTAGCATAATATCAATTATCGTCCACGGGCTGTTGTGGTAGCCGGAAACGCTCTACAAGGCTCGGGATAATCGTACCTTTGTACAGTGTAAAATGTTTTATTCCTCTGAACTCGGACATTTCAGTGTGGAGATATATCGAGTGATCAGCCATGACCAAAAATATCGACTGATTGTTGCATCATGAATAATCACTCGGTTAATTTACTAGACGTGTTGGTATTTTGAAGTCTTAGGATGTACTGTATTTGGCTTGATTACCTACAGAGGAGGTACGGTACATAGAAAAACTATGCACATAAATTTCATACTATGATAGATCCGTGGTACTCTAGGTATTAGAAACACCCATTACCGTGTTAGTTCGTCTCGGCAGCCGGTTACACAAAATGCCGAAACCCCCAATATGGTTCTTTATCTTGAACACGTCTTCTAATCTCTCCTCATGCTGCCTTGAAAAGTCAGCTTGGGGCGTCTTTTGTGACGAGAAGATGAGATGGATGAATGCGGTACTGGAGAGTATTGGTACCGTTAATAATCACATCCTCCTAGGCGCGCTCGGAAGTTATTCGACACGCATCTTTAAGCGCGCAATAATCTATATATAAATCTTATAGACCCTGACTACAGCCTGAATGATAGAAATTAACTCACGTCATAACTTTCGCAATACGATGCCAAAATGGAGACGTGATATTACTATATTAATGTGGTCCACTACACTAACCTTGTCCTCCCACGAGTCAGGGCTGGCTCGTGTAAAGTTCGTTCTTTTTTTTTTTTTTTTTTTTTTTTTTTAATGAAATATAGCTACTAGTGAGATGCAAGGGCTCCCTAGAGGACAAAGTACTGGATAACTCATCCCCGGAGGCAGGATACTGTTTTCATCTCCGAAGTGGGATATGATATCCTCCTGTAGAGAGATGCCCAATCCTCTCAGGTAGGATGTGATATCTTAACTATTGGGTACTACCCGTCGATTTGCTGGATAAGTTATTCTTTTTTACCGGGATATGATAAGATATCCCCAGTTAAGGAGAGATATTTAATGGGGTGGGGATGTTCTGACTGGTAGGGGATACCTTACCCTTCGTAGGGGATATCATCAAGAACCTAGATTTAAAAAATATACAGGGGAATCGAACTTAGGCATTGGCGATTGGATCTAGCAGATGTTACCAACTATGATAGTGGTTTAGATACAAAACTAGTACAAATTGCCAATATCAACCTTAGTTTTAAAATTCGACAGCCAAAAAAAAAACAACCGAATTTGTCTAAGTCCAAAATTGCTAGGGATGCGAAATACTACAAGCAGGAGAACACTTTATTCTATGTGAAAATCCGTATCCTTATCAGAGGATATTAGATTATATCCACATGAAAGGATATATATACACGGGAAAAGATAAGCTATCCCCGAATACAGTATCCTATAGTAAAGATACTATATCCCTTTGTGAGGATAGTTTATCCAAATAAGAGCGAAATCTCCTATTTTAGCTACTTGATGCTTGGGGATCCCAAATGACTCAAACTTATCCTCTCACAGGATAACCTATCCCGACTCCCGGGATGTGCTATCCCGATTCCTAACAAAGTTGGTACCCTAGGGGGCTATGAGGAGTAATTTCGGGGTTACTGATATTGTGTAATCTTTGGAAATATGTGACTGCCTCGAATTCGGGTATTTCATTCACTGCCGAACCATACAAGAAAATAGCATCCGTTTGAACCTTGCTTAGGTTTTGCTGTTGTACCGAGGGCTTTATAAAGACTTCTTCCCCCGTTTAGCCCTACGAGATGTTGGATATAAGGCGTCGATCCTACGGCTATTAAAAGACAGCTTTAAAGAGGTTGATAAGAGGGCTTGTACTTATACAAGGTCCTTACTAAGCCTTGTTGAGGCAAAACGTGAAGTGAGTAAGGCTTTAAACAGGTCTTATTTTTTGTACGTTAATTCGACGGTAATTTTTTCACCGGGTGGGTCTTTCGCAGAACTTGTCGGAATAATATCCTGTAATATTGATCATTGACCTATCAGCTCGGACCATGAGTCTCGACCACCAAATAGCCCGACCGGCCTGGGATTTTGGTCATGCTTGATTTGAGCCGACCCATGAGCCTATATTATAGCAACGAATAGTTGTGAAATGACGAGGAGGTCGCGAGGAGGTCGGGTGGCACTCTAGCCAGGATGCTGTAGTCTGGTGGAATTTCTCCAGGTGCGATCGTCGTTTTATCCACCTTTTGGTTCCGCATAGCAGCCGGGAGGGTGTATTGTATATATAGGCACAGGAAACCCTGTACATGATATACTCGAATACGTCAGAATCTGGAGCAAACATTGGTAAACGAAAATGATTGGTCCCACTCTGCTAGGCCGACGTCAGCTTCAATGCCGACTTAAAGTGTTGTTGATTGGGTCCACCAGCACTTGAATTATTACCTATGTACCAGGATTTGTGTGAACGCTTACTGGGGGCTGGCAATCAACCGGCGAAAAGAATTGCATCAAAATCAGTAGATCTAGTCACTAAGTGAATGCCGTGGGTGTGTGGCTGGGTACGTTGGTGTGCCGTTTACAATAAATTAGGACCCATAGACTATAAAATAAATTAATTATATATATTTCCTACTTTTGTAATCCAGGTGTTTCGGTGTTTAAAGTCCCAACTCACAGCACACCGAGTGATATCTCGTGACACCACTCCCGGTCCGACGAATTCATTCCCCCGGTCACAAGTTGTGACACAACCCGCAACCACACGCCCCCCCCACACACACCCCACGCAAAAAAAAAAAAAAAAAAATCAATAATAGCTGACTGTACTCATATCGCCAGCATTAAAATACGGTTTACATAAGAAAAACCAGGTCAAAGTGACCTATGATTGGTTGGATTTGTGTGAAAATATTATGTCAACGTATTTTGGTTCTGGTGAAGTGAGTACCCTGCCCTGTTGTTTCTGCAGCCACGCGCACTCCACCCTGTCACACAGCCAGGCAGATCTACTTCGCTCCCCGGAGCACCGTGTAACAGAAGCTTATTTGACCTTTGTTCTTAATATTCCTTTTTACCCCTCCCTTACAATCTTGAGTCATGAAATGGCTGATGCTGAAGTAATCTACAAATTAAATTCTCCATATCCTTGGTCATCATTCCCATGTGCGTTTTTCTCCTGGACCCTGCCCATGGCAGTACTACTGTACTCTACTTGATTTGTAAAAATAGGATCGATCCCTACACACATCATGATCACCCCACCTTGCACCCACTCAAGATCTCTCTTTGGTTTTGTACATTATGAACCTTTGCATATTCAACACCGCCTCGTCCGCCCTGTGTCTGTCATCAGGGAATTTTTTCTTGTCGATTCTCTTAACCTGCAGTGGTACCATCTCAGTTAGTATTTACCCTCTCAGCCTCATTATTGTTCTTACGGATCCGCGCGGGTATGTAGGGCATAATGAGGGGGAAGACAGAGTGATTTCTAATCATATGAATGCATTTGTCATTAACGCATAGTGGTATCATCCACTGCTAGGCAAGGCAAGGTATATATCGGGGATTTTTTGGTAGGTGCCAACAAAAGCAAAAGAAGTTCGGCGGGTGTGTGTGCAAAAAGAATCGCAAAAGGAAATAAACAAAAAAGAACAGGTGACGATGCTTGACGCGTCAACGCACGTATGAACATTCTGAGCACCAGTGCTAGAATGCCCAATGTAAAATGTTACATTGGCTCTACACTCCCGACTGGCCAAGTCCCATTGGGTCAGATAGGACTGTCATCGATGCACACAAGTTCCACATGCGGAATTGTATAGTGCATCAACAAGGTTGCAGGAGTACACAGGCTAAGCCTTGTGCGATGCCCTCAGCCTTATAGAGTAGAGTGCACTAGTAGGCTTTCAAGGTGGGTCAAAGATCCCGCCAATGCAGAAGGATCGTAATCCCAATAATAACCTTGACTGGGCCCCATACTACCGGGCTCCAGTATAGCCAACCAATTCAGATGAACAAACTCCTCTGTACCAGTGATTTTACCAGGGCTAAGGCCCAGCAGCCAGGTACTCAGGAAAATCCCACATGTAACAAAAGTTGAAATGAAACCAAAAGCGGGAAAATAACGGATGACTTGAAATTCGGCAGATTAAAATAAAACAAAGGATTAGATGATTACTTACAATCGTTCTGACGTTAGGCAACGCTTTTTGCAAATGCGCCAAGAAACCGCAGTTGACAAACACAGGCCCGTCATAGTCAAAGTCAGCGTCAGCGTATATGTCCATGATGGCATTGATCGCCTCGACTGTTGGTTCCGCTGGAGTGTTTGGTGCAGCAGCAATAAGCGTCATGAGGAATACCCCAATTTCCTGCACCCGGAGGATTAGACGATTATTCCAAAGGCCGGCGGATATACCAGACGTACCTTATTCACATCTAATCTCCCTTCGGCCATGGCTAGGCATCCAAGAACACCTACACACTTGCCCTCAAGGCCATCTACACCTGCTACTGCCTTTCCACCTGCTCCACGAGCGGCTCCATACAGCGCAATAAATGCACCCACTACCCCACCTTCTATATTCACCTTTCCATGTGTCCCCTTAGCAACAGCCCATGCCAGGCCTGATATCGCATCCGCCAACTCGATATCTGCCGTGTTGGCCCTTAGAATCTTTACAACAACCTCATCCCAAATTGCATACGCCAATTTCTCCCATGTGCCCCATAGTGAAGAATCCGGGGGAATTGTGACGTTGGCAGTCCATGCAATATTATTTAATACACTAATAGCGCGTGTCTGCAGAGCTAGAGGCGATCCATTGCCACCCTGTGCTAATGGAAGTAGTAATTGAGCAGTGGATGTTAGCAAGTAAGCTAAGATATCCTCAGCACTACCATCCATGTCGTCGATACCACCGGATTCAGCGCCAACAACATTGTCCATATCAGCCAACACATCCTCGTCAATATCTTCTGGCCCCTCTTCATCACCAAGCTCGACGTCACCGTCAGCATCGGCTTTGAACTCGTTCTCATCGTTTGACTGGACGGCTGTGGCAATGGAAGCAAGAATTTCAAGGGCGGTTTCGACAGCGAGGATTCGCTGGTCGGGGGTAAGGGAGAGCGGGGTAAGGGAAATATCTTCAGGGTCTTGAGGCGTAGATGCGATTCTAACAAGATTTGTGAGAGTTGGAAGAGTTAATGAGTCTGAGATTTGGTGGGTATCAGGGGTGGCGAGTGATATGTTGTGTAGCGTGCCTGGGTACAATAAATTTAGCAAGAATTCTACAAGGAAGTGAGACATTATTACCGCAAACGAAAATAGTTTTGATGGCGGCCTCGGGTTGGATATCATCTTTAAGCTTGAGGAGAAGAGAGACGTAGTTTTCGTTCTCGATAATTTGTTCGACGATGACGACGTTTTCTTCAGTGAGTGCGTGGAGGCATTGGGCAGCGGCTTCTTGTACACCTGAGGGTATTATTTGTGACGGATAGAGGATGGAAATTAGAAAATGAAGAAGGTGAGAGATTTTGGTAATCGCATCCACCACTTCTTGGGATGTTTCGCTAGGGAAGTCAGCGACTGCACATAATATCGTAATCATGATGTGGGGGTGGGTGCTACCAGAGGCTTGTAATCAGCCCAATGACGTTCTCGGTGTACTGCCATAATAGCTTTTTCTCTGGAGTGCTGAGAGCACTCGGGTTATTTGTAATATTCCCAATCGCAGTAGTAATCTACACTTAATTAGCCGGCTTCTCACAACAGTCCAGAGTTCAGTTTGTACAATAGTAATCGCCGCGGCCACCGGTGTCAAGATATCTTTCCTATACATGAATATACATTGATCATATCCTTCCTCGGCCGCAACATTCCTGAGTGCGCCCCAACCGTAGACGACGACTTCCTGATTAGAATCATTCAGCGACCCTTCCATGATTTTCTGCACCACACGTTCCCTCAGTAGCAAATTACGACAGTTGGAATCCTCCAGTAAATTGACTATTGCCGACAAAGCTTCGGAACGCTGCTTTGTATTCGTTGAACCTAAGTTCTTCACTACTGGAATGATCTTTGACTCGCGGAGAGCTGCATTAGCTGCGACTTCTGCAGGATTGAGAGGGCGCGCAGTTGGAGAGGCAATGGCACGAGCCATACTCGAGCGAGATTTCTTTGCTTTACCCATTGCCGTGACTTTGGGGCTTGTATTATAATTCGTTTGTTGCGTATGAGACGAGGAATATTTTTTTTAAGAAAAAATGAGAGAAAACGTTTGTTGGGCACGTGACAAATCCGGGTAACCTCCTAGAATGTGTTACACACGTCATTTACGCGACTAGTTAATTACTTTCAGTCGCGTCTCCCTGGCACCCCCGAAACATCGCTCATTTCCCCGGTACACCCCCCTTATTCTCTAACCCAGTTTCCCGGTTTCCAATAATGAATTCAGATACCGGGTCTTTGAAGCGAAAAGCCGTGGACGATGCCGCTCCTCAAAGCATTCAGGCCCCTAGAAGAATCAAGGTCCAGTTCTTGGCATCTCTTATCAGAATGTAGCTAATAATTTAGTTAGGCACTTGACCAAGTAGTCATCAACAAAATTGCAGCTGGTGAAATCATTGTTGCGCCTGTTCATGCGCTCAAGGAGTTAATTGAGAATGCCGTGGATGCCGGTAGCACATCACTGGAAATTGTAGTGAAGGATGGTGGTCTCAAGCTCTTACAGATCACTGATAACGGTCATGGGATCAACGTATGTGACTAGCCCTATGGGCGCATCATAGATACTCACTCGGTATATTTGTAGCTCGAGGATATGCCTATTCTGTGCGAACGTTTCACTACGAGTAAACTGAAATCATTCGAGGATCTTAATGCAATTGGGACCTACGGATTCAGAGGGGAAGCCCTAGCAAGTATTAGTCATATAGCCCATTTGACTATCACAACTAAAACGAGTGATTCGAGTTGTGCCTATAGGTTTGCTGCCCACCCCTTCTGCACTTTCTTTCTTCGGTCTTGTTTATCTGGTACAGAGCTGTATATTCAGATGGTAAACTCGTTCCTCCAAAACCTGGTCAGAGTGCAGACCCAAAACCGGTAGCAGGGAGACAGGGGACACAAATTACTGTATGTTTTATAGTCCTGTTAAACCGAAACGAAACTTGTGACAGCTTCATAACAATTCCTAGGTTGAGGATTTATTCTATAATACCCCCTCCAGGCGCCGTGCATTCCGAAGTCCGGGCGAAGAGTACTCAAAGATTCTAGACGTTGTTGGGCGGTATGCAGTGCATTGTTCGGGGGTGGCGTTCTCATGCAAGAAGGTATTCCCCTTGCATCCTTACACCGTTGTACCTATTAATACTGGTATGTTACACACAGTTTGGAGATGCAGATAGTGGTATCTGCACGACCGCGACTGCCTCTGTAATTGATCGAATCCGTCGCATTCATGGTTCCAGCGTCGCCAATGAACTCCTTGAGTTCACCACTTCTTCAAAACACCTTGGTTTTGAGGCAACGGGTATGATATCCAATGCCAACTACCATGTCAAGAAGACCACATTACTCCTGTTCATCAACCACCGTTCGGTCGAATCCTCCGCGATCAAAAAGGGACTCGAAAATGTCTATGCAACATATCTCCCCAAGGGCGGACACCCATTCATATATCTATCACTCGAAATAGAACCTCATCGTGTTGACGTCAACATCCATCCTACAAAACGCGAAGTTAACTTCCTCTACGAAGATGAGATTGTCGCAAAAATTGTGGAAACAGTTGAGGAAAAGCTGGCTGCAGTAGATACGTCTCGTTCATACACTCTTACGCAGACACTCCTCCCAGGCACAAAACCTATCCAAAGTAGTAGTAGCGATGACACCGCAAGGGAAATAAAAGCGAACGATACCAAAGCAAGACGCAAGAAGGAATACGAGTACAATATGGTCCGTACTGACAACCGCGATCGCAAGATCACCACTATGTTCGAAAATCCCCCCACAAACAAATCTGCAGGCGACTCAGTAGAATACGAGACCAACCATGATTCGACGTGGACATTGATAAATTATACAACTATTCACTCTTTACGTGCCTCCGTACGTGATAGCGCACATACAGAACTCTGTGAGCTGTTCCAAAACCACACGTTTGTGGGCATAATAGATGACAACCGACGTCTCGCAGCTGTGCAACACGGGCTTCGCCTATACCTTGTCGACTATGCCGCTGTATCGTACGAGCTGTTTTACCAGATTGGCCTGAGCGACTTTGCAAACTTTGGGCGGATAGTTCTAGATCCACCGATGGGCGTACGAGATATTCTTGAGATTGCGGTAGAGGAAGAGAAAGCGAAGGGGGAAGAGGGTGATTTCGACTGGGAATCTGCGATAAATGTATGCCCCCTCATTCCTCTCCGTACCCCCCCCCCCCCCTCCAGACCGTCCCGGGCCTGATATAACATAGACAATCGAGCAACTGCTCCTTTCGAAACGTCCTATGCTCAAAGATTACCTCAGTCTCGAAATCTCCGAGGATGGTAGCCTTGTTAGTATCCCACTCTTACTGAAAGGGTATATGCCCAGTCTTGGAAAGCTTCCCTCCTTTATTCTACGCCTAGGGCCAAACGTAAGATCTCCCTTCTCTCGCTGTTAGTGACATAAGAGGCTCCGGCTAACACGGAAGACGAACTAAAGATCGACTGGACATCAGAGCTGGAATGCTTTGATACTCTTCTGCGTGAACTGGCATTGTTCTACGTTCCCGAGAAACTACCGAGCGTGAGTGCTGATGCTGACGATGGAAATGACGTTGTGGCGGCGGCGGGTAATTGGGATGTCGAGGCGCGCAGAAAAGAGCTGGGGCGCATGGTGGAAACAGCCATATTCCCGGTTGTCAGGAAACGATTGATAGCGCCAAAAACACTTCTGGGGGCCGTTACCGAGGTCGCCAATCTGAAGGGGCTGTACCGCATTTTTGAAAGATCCTGCTAGTGAATGCGCATGAGATTCCCGCGTGTTATGTGGTGTGTGTGTGTGTGTGCGTGCGTGTGTGTGTGTGTGTGTGTGCATGCACTCTATGTATGTATGTGAGTTTGGTTTGATTTGGCTCGGAGGAACATGTATATCGGAGAATAACCAAGACACATCCTTAGCGTTTAATGAGAAAGGGGCACTGGTGATTAATGTTTCTTTTTTCGTTTCATGCAAGAACACAAACAAAAGTGCGAGCAAAAGTGAACAAAAAGTTTGATAATGATAATCGAGCGATGAGCCCTTATTATTATTTCGATGCTCCAGAATCTATTATTCTGTTCTTACGCACCAAGGGGTGACCCTGTTCTATGTTACAGTCCAACCCAGCCGAAGCAAATTCTAATAATGATGCGGTATTCCATACCGACCAGCCCAAAAACCCCAACATAAAAATTCTATAAGTACCGTGCCTCCATGTAATAAAGAAATATAAGGTGTAAAGCCAATAAGGATGCAATGAAGAAGAAAAGAAGAACCCAACCACCCGGCCCGTGAACAAAAGAAAGAGCAGAGAGTGACAATGTGAGTGTCTGAGAAGCCAAAAGCCAAAAGGAAAAACCGTAACAAGCCATTAAACAGTTAGGTGTCTAAAAGAAAGGAAAGGGAATTAATCAATAATAATAATGATAATAAAGTAAAAGGGAAAAAATCAAAAACTCCGGCCCGTGTAATAAAACTCCTTGTGAGGAAAACTCCAACACATTGCAAATAACAAAGGTCGCCGCCCATAATGCTAACAAACCGTCTAAAACCCTCTAATAAGTCTATGATGAACCTCTAATCCCACCTTCTAATTTTTTTTCGTAACCCAACCACTCCATTAAAATTATTGCGTACACCCCTCCTGTGGTGCGCTTTCCGCATTTTTAGTCGACGCTTGATGACAACGACGACGGTGACGAACGAATGAATGACAACACTAGTCGACAAGACGACGGCCACCTGTGGACGCAGTGATGGATGAGGTGATAGGTACTGGTACGAGCTTCTCGCCGACTAGTTTCATCTTCGGTCGAATCATGATATCGAGAGGGACGGGCTTGCCGCAATTTGGTCCGAGAACGACTTGGCTCTTCTTGACGAATCCGAATCGCTGGTACATTGGTACGTTGTTGATATGACTGCTCTCAAGATAGCATGGCGCACCACCTTCGAGATCACACTAGAAGCACAATGCATGTTAGTGGCTGTTTTGACTATATGAAACTAGATGGGTGTAGATGAATCCCACCAAGGGACTCAAACTCCTGAAATTCTAGAAACAAACAAAATGAATGAGGTTTTAATTTGAGCATACCTTTCTTGTGACAAACTCGATGAGCTTTCTCGCGTAGCCTCTTCCTCTCGCATCCGGAGTGACGCCGAGGTAAACTAGGTACCTATCGAATGATTAGAGATGGTTCTGTGTAACTATACTACTGCACGTTCTAGAAACCTGCAGGAAACGTGGGAACATACCATGCATCTTTGTCCTGATCACCCATAGCATTTACTCTGTAGCAACGAAAAATACCGAGTCAGCAAACATTCTCAAAAAGATATCTGATTACGCAAATGCCATGTTCCACCTTTGCGGACGTTCTCTGAACAAAAGTTCCGACAACGGCACAGGCAAGAGAGTGCATGAGATCGGGGCTAGGGTAGAAATTTCCGCGTGGCTGTTGTTACATACTTGGTCTGGTGCAGAACCTCAAGAAACTCCTCAAAGTACCGCTTCTTTCCCTCCTTTGTCAACTTCCAGTACAGCCTCCACATGCCGCTGCGGAAGATTGTGAACCAGTCATCCATGTTTTTTCCCGGTGGCATCCTGTATACGAGTAACCCCGGAAAAGTCAGCCATATATTGCTTTTTGCACAATTGTGATGTTGCCTGCAGATCTCCACTCGGCACACACTCTCTCACACACACCCGGCGGCGGAGAGAGTGACGCTGCCGGTTACGCCTCGCTCAGGAACAAGCTGAGGGTAGAGTACTGGGAACTATCTCTGATGGGGAGATTGATGGACAGGGAGTGTGTATCATACCATAGTGCGATTCCCTCGTTGTGCTCACCAATGCCCAATACCAGACCGTTGTAGCAATGAGCCGCAACAATGTACTCAAGAATTTCCAGATGTAGTGGGTAGAGCTCCTCACGGGTCATGCCGCCATTATCGGGTGTCTCGAGGCAGTAGAAAGCTACGTCGTCCTTGAAGAATGCATCCGCTAATGTTCGTGCAGCTGATTTGTATTCATCAATGCCGAGTACTCGTACTTGGTCGTTCGAGTATTTGTTGGCTGTATATGTTACTGTTGTAGTCGACATTATTATTATTGTATGGGGGTTGATATAAAAGGTGAGTTTGTGTTAACCGATGATGAGGGAGGTGGTTGTATTAAGTATTGATGGGATTGAGGGTAGTGGTAGTGGTGATGATGAGGTGTTTTTAAAGAATGAATGGAAATGTGCTGCTTGATGTGTTCTAGAAGAAGTGACAGAAGGGCGGGAGGCTGATGTTCTTATTCTATTCCTCTCGGTTCCAGAAACGACGGGGGATCCTTTTCAAGTTCCTTTTTTCTGGTTTGACCCAAGCTAATGAATCAAAGACAAATGTTGGGAGAGTCCGGGTCCTAGCTGGTACAAGGATGGGCTGTTTGGGGCTGCCCTGGGAAGTGGTATTGGAACGGGGGTACGAGGATGGAGGGTATAAATTAAATTGGCATTAAGAGGAATACGCCGAGGGCTCCGGAGGAGGTCAAGGTGCAAGGAGAGTCAGGCAGGAAGGCAAGCAGGCAGGGCCTGCTTGCCTGCCTACTGCTGCGAGGAGGTCCTGTGCACCGCGCGGGCGGCCATACCGAGTGTTGTCTCTGTTTGTCAACCCGTAAATCTCACTCGATAATTGAGTGATCACTGATGATGTTATGCTATGTAGGTGGTAGCTATATGTATGCTATGCTTTACTATAGTTGGGCTGGATCATGGTCGGATGGTCATGAGTGATGGAGTACAGGAAAGCTCATGTATTCATGGACTCGTTGCTTTGCTGCCTGCACCAATCTCCTAGTGCGCTGTTATTGCTGTACATTATTGCTGCTCCTCCTCTACAACCTTTTTTACCCCTCCTCCTCATGCTGCGGCCACAGCCTGCTTCGTGCCTGCTTTCTCTTTTCTACTTGCCTGCTCTTCCTCTAGTTAATCGCCTACCTCTGCGTCAGACTCAATTTCAACAGGGCAAGATAACTACCAAATCAGTGCTGTCTCTTACACGACTCTGTAATCTACTTAGGGGCTGCGAGTGGTTCTTAACCTCCGTGTATCTGATCCTCCACGCGCCCCCCACCATATGTCCGTCTCCGCGCGCTCCGTTCCATCTCCGACTCCGTCAGTGTACCTTCTCTCAGCTCGCCGCACCCCTCTATTACCCCCCCTCTATAGCGCTATTTACTAAGGTACACATATGTACTCCAACATATCTTTTGTCTCTCCTGCAGTGCTCGTTAAAAATACCCTCCCATGATTTGCGTTCTCCTTCTCCAGTCCCCCAAGGTCCAACGTTGCCTGCATTCGATAAAACGTTCAATGACGCAGTAGCGTCAAGAGGATGGATGCCCGAACAGGTCACGACTGGGAGGCCCAGAAGGTCCCTTTACACCCCTGCCCGTAATTATCCAATTAAGAACTTTATGTAAGCCCGCAGACGCTGTGTAGTTGACTTGCGCGAGGTTACGGTTAGGCGACGTACGTACGGAATATTCTTCGAAACTCTTCACGGGGGCTTAGCCAGGAAAGGCGCATCAGGACTGCAGACTGCAGTGCATGACTAAACAGAGAAGCCTCAAAGACCGTAATTGGGCGTGAAATCTAAGTATTAAAGTGCTAACCCCTGACCAAAGAGGAAAAATAAAAAAAATTACCCTGCAGAATTTTAATACAGCCCAGATCTCTCATCAGAAAAATGTGATGATTTTCTCTTGCTGCTGACGAGTAAGTAATAACAACCTGCACATACATCCTACATGTGAGTAAATAATGTATGTATGTATAATCTCTCTCGTACAACCCCAACCGGAATACATGTATTCTTCTTCCTCAGGCGTAGTATGAGTGGAGTTTGCGGTCCTCGGCGAACTACACGGGGGCGTGACGCTCGAGCACCAAAAATAAAGAATTAATTGAATGTTAGTACGGAGATGTTCCGAGGTTGATTCGATCACCGTTCACTCGGGACGGGGGTCACTGCGCACACTAGAGCACAGCTAACACAAGGTCCTTGGGTTGGGTACGTTGGGTCTTTGATGCGTGTAGGTCCCCCTGTGTATCTGTCCTGCATGACTACCTCGTGGGGTCTTGGTAATCTACATGTATCTATGTATATCTAACCTGACGTGTAGATGGTCAAAGCCATTGGGAGCCGCACATTGGCTAGGACTGGGTTTTAATTTTCAGATCACGGAGAGAATCGATATCTGTAGTTAGAGAATTGAAAGTCACAATTAAATGAGGCATAGCATAAAGAGATACAGCTACTAGTTGCCGCTATGCTTCATGCCCACGCTCATCAAGCGAAAAAAAAAAGGGGGGGGGGGGGGTGGGGAGAGAGGAAGGAAGGCAGCAGGAGGAGGGGGGGGGGGGGGGGGGGCAAGATCAAGTAGGTATGAAGGCAGGAAGGAGGAGGGGTTTCGAAATGTGCAGGCACGAAGCGCAGGGCAATTAACCCATTCCAATACCGTTCAATACATACAGAAAAACGATTCCCCATTTACACTCACCTACCTAACCCACCTCACCTGTGCCTACATACATACATTACATACACCCTAATATACTCGCGACACTGTAGGGAGCGCCATTAACTGCTAGCCAGTTCGTCGAGTGATCGAGATATATATGCCGCTTACTCAACGTCACAACAGGGGCAACGACCACCACCACCACCAGCTTCACATTTTTCGCAAAATTTGAAATTTCGAGATCTTAATCCCTCCTTCATCGGCCGGCGCGCGCGCATACACGCGCGAGGTGAGAGTGAGCGCGCCACCACCACTCACATGATTGCGATCCCTCTTTCTCTATAATTATTCCGAGTTGGACTACTGCCCTTCTGATTCACCTCCGATGGAGGAGGGGTGGGTACAGTGGAAAGTGGAGATGTGGAGGGGGTTGAGGGAGGGGCTTCTCAGAAACAAACCTTGAATTGGCCGGGCCATTTCAATCGGTTTTCCATCAGATTTGAGATTTCAGATTTCATGCCCCATGCCCCATGCCCCATGCCCAGATGTACACTACACCAACACCCACCGCGCTAGATTGTATGTACCAGGCCGGGGGTTATCAATGAACCGGGGTCCAATTTGGAAGTGGACCCGCCCTCCTGGAACCCACCACCGACTAAACCCTTATCAGCCAAATATGGGGTTCGAGCGAACCCCCTGGCGGGGGCTTTTTTTTGTGATCAGGGTTTATGTGATAGAGAGAGAGAAGAAGAAAATTTCTTTTGCTTTTCCAAGTATGTACACTACCGCGGTTCGGGTCGCAGGTCAAGGGTTCAAACGAACCAGAGTGGTTAATGAGTGGAAGCAGAGGGTAACCCCAGTATCACACCCGTTTGGGTGCAACGGAAATTCTAGAATATTTCCCAGCATGTACTTACGCTCATTTGCCCGTTAATTCTCGACGATTCGACAACGACAACGACAACGTCGAGGCTCGCATAGCATACTCGTACAATAACTCGCACATTAATATTGAGTACATTGCAGCAGCGGCTGCCATGCCATGCCAGCTGCCTACCTGTTCTCTGCATAGAACACGCGTGTCTTCTTTGCTCCTGTTGCTCTAGTTACTCGTATTGTTGTTCTTTTTGCGATGTAAATACGTGTATAAAAAAAAAAAAATCTCGCAGAAAAGACATATGTATAGATATCGGCACGATAGATTAAATTCCACAACTGTGCTGCTGCACGCACGCACGCACGCCTTTTTTCAATCCATAGATATATGCAGCATGTCAATCATGTGCGAGCATATCCGAATGAATGACCGTCTGTACATGAATATGGATATGGGTTATGGAGCCTAGAGACAGACAGCAGCCAGACAGCTAGACTCTAGAACTTCCCTCTCTCTCCCTCTCCGCCTACAGAAGAAACCCTACCTACATGCACATATACATATACGCTACGCTACGTGGACCAGAGACGTCTTCTCCTTCCCACCACCCCATCTCCACGCCTCCCCCGTTCGATCTCCTCATCCCTCCAATTAAGCTAGCCAGCCCTCTCTAGCTAGTCCTCAGCTGCCTGCTGCTGTGTGAGTACATATCTCAACCCCAACAGCCAGCCAGCACGAGCGGCAGCTTGATGATGATGATGATGATGATGATGATGCTGCGCGGGGCATTAATCGACATCTCGCATTGTGTTATATTACATTATCATCGATTCAACCAACCCGCCAGGTTTGTAGAGTAGGCCGTAGGGCATGTAGCTAAGGTTAGCTAGCAAATTATGAGTGAGTGAGTCTAGAGTTCCCCAAGAACCCTCGCTCTCGACTCTATGTACAGTAATTATGCACATCTATGTAGAGTAGCTATCCAGCCAGGTAGCCAGGCAGGCTGGTAGGGCAGGTAGTGTATCTCCCACCAATTAACCCGACGGATAGACGGTACCGTCGATCATCGCGGGAAGTTATCGAGGGGTGGAGGGGTGGAATAAAATGACAGACAGCATTACAACAAGGCTGGCAAACTACAATCAGATCCTGATAAATGAGCTACCTCACTACATTGCTTTTCATACGGGCCCGATATGCACGGGGGTGCCTGGCTGACTGGCTGGCCGGCTTTCAATTGTGCAATTTTGGGTTTTGTGGTAACCGTGGTGTGTTTGACAATCGTCATGTAGGGCATGACAGGAAAGGGATGTAGAGAAGGAAAGGAAGGAAGGCTTCTCGTCGGACATCTCTCCTAAGGCCAGACATGGTTACCCCTCTCGGGGAGAAACACACACACACACACACACACACACACACACACACACACACACACCCTCATTGACACACATAAACCCTCAGTGTCGTGAACTCCAATGGGGATGGTGGCGGCGGGCGGGGAGTTAAGGGCAGGAATGGGGGAGGGAAGCAGGGTGGTGGCCGGCAGCTGGAAAGCAGAATCGCAATTGGAAACGAAACGCCTCATTCTCATTCTCGGAGATATCCATCGTAGGAAAGCTGGGAAAGGGAAAGGAGATTCTGATCAAGCCAAAGAAAAACGAAATAAAATAAAAATATGACAGCCTTGTCAAAGACAACGGCAACGGGCAACAACA